TCATCGCCACCTTGAAAACTCAGTTTTAAAGTGGCAGGTTTTTTTATACCATAAAAAATGATTTTTGCAACTTCGATTCTGAGATTATGCTTGTTAATCATGGATATTCATGGGCTATTTTAGGCTGGTCTGGCTGATTCAAAATGTCCTTGCGAGCAGCAGAGTGACTAACCTGGAACAGCCGAACAGTCACAAAATGAGAGGTTACTGATCTTATTCACGTCTCGTTCATAACTCCCTTCTGTCCCAATTTCAACGAGAATCGACGCGTAAACACGACTTGACATAAAGCGACAATTATACCAATCGTATGTGAGAGTTCTGCCAATGAAGGATTAATACATTACTGTATTTAAATGGTGACTTCGTAGTTCTTCTGATGATGGCATTATTTACCAGTCCAATGCATTGATTTGTTGCTTGGCTATTTGTGAACAGGAATTGGCGGGTGTGGGAAATGCAAATTTCTCTTCACAGAGGGTTATTCTATATCACACGTGTTTGCTATTGACAAGGCTGGGACCATCACACATTGTCACCATCAGCCATGGTCAATCCACTGCCGGATGAAGTCATCCCCAACCTGCCGCGCTCTCTCAGGCGTGAGAGCTCTTTCACCCCGCGTGTTATCCGGTGAGCCGCGGGCCCCAGCGTTACAGAGTTGCAAGGCTCAGCCCTCTGACGTCGGTGGCAAACAACCCGTTTTGCCATAGTACGCTTTGAAACCCAAAAATACGACCGAACGAATACGAATAAATAAGAGGCCAACTGCAAATGTGGTCATTTTTTCAGTTATCATCATCGTTTGCATCATCATCGCCCTCAGTGACTGCACATGAGCTGATCTTTTCGTCCATGGCTGTGGTAGTTGTCCTTCTTTGCTTGGCTGACATCCTGTTGTCAGTCTCATTCATGAACCATGATCCATTCTGGTGATGCGTTCCACCCGCGCTGAATTACTGCATGGTAATGCCTATAACTTGTTATTGTTTTCCCGGCCCACGTGTTCCTCTTTCTCTTTCTGTGCAAGTCCAGGCATGCATCTCTCCGCGTTTCGTTCGTGTACTGCTCATATTTATTTTAGCGCCCACGTTTCTGATACGTGTGTCACGGAAAATGCACTGATTGAAAAAGTTCTTCATCAAGCACGTTGATTATCAAATTTAGTAGAACAAAAATCCTCCTAGGGGGAGGAGTGGTGCAGTAGTTTCACGAACGTCACTAATAACCTGGGCACCTCAGTTGGATTTCCAGCCACAGCCAACATCAGTGACAAATGGTATCTGAACTGCCTCTTTCACCAACCTATCCTTGACCAGTGGGGTGAGGTATGGTCAAACAATTCCCGTGGCTGACACGGCATGGAGAGGACTTCGACCAGCAGTGGATTCGACATATATTTCCAGTAATCTGTCTGAAATATCACGCAATGCCATCCAGTGTAACTGGATATTCACAATTGTCACCATCAGCCATGGTTCATCCACTGCTGGATGAAGGCATCCCCAACCTACCGGCCCCTCTCATGATCTTGCGATGTAACAATCCACCCAGCGCCTGTACACGGACTGATGTAAGTGCATCCAAACTCCTGGACACTTTTAAAAAGGCACACTAGCATTTATCTCTTTTTTTAGTGTATAAAAATTGCACATTTTTTTTATCCCGAAATTGAGGTGGGAAAAAAAAAGACTCATTCAGCGTAAAAGTGCATTCTTTGCACAAAATATATAAGTAAGCACACTGTCATGTGAGAGTTTTAGGTCACCAAGTCGCGTAGCCATTAACATGCCAGTTTCTGTGCACGTGGAAAAAGAATCTGGAGTTAAGAAAGGGCACTTTCTTGAAACAATGCTTTGGTCGTCCTATTGACATTCTATCATGTGATGCCCTCCATGACCAAGGTTTATAAATACGGTCCAGGGATCGGCAGTCCCCACTGGGCAATGGAATTGCAAAACCACCGTTTAGTCCGGCACAATTTAACTCCGTTTTTGTGGGTTGGTGATTTAACTTTGCAGAAGGTGCATTTTATATTACGCTTCGAATAATAATCTGGTGATATACAAACTCCACGTATTACTACAAATAGAAATAGTAAAAAAAACATTCAACACACAGTGCGTGTACTTGTACGGCACCGAAAGTCAATCCAGTGCCGGTTGAGGGCCCCCATATGCAGTACAGATCATCGGAGTAATTTGACTATACGTTACCACAGTGGTCAGCGTGGGTTGTGAAGAGGGAAGCAATAGAGTGATGTCCAATAAAATAATAAAAGTTGATTACATTACCGTCCTTTGCCATTCCACTGCTGGATCACTGCCTTCCTATGCTGTGTAGGCCATGGGGTTGTTTGACTGTCGATCACCATTGTGGTAAATGCAGATTGGTGAAGGGTGCTTGCAGGACCAATTGCGTCTTGGTAAAATGGAATTCAGAATCGCTGTGGCTTTTCTTTTGTTAATGTTGAATTCGTTTTTTTGGCAACAATTTGCTCTGTTGTTACTGCAAAGGGCCTTCTTCCAACGTTTTTGTTTGTTTTTATATATGTGTCGTTGTCTTTACGTTAAAGTCATGCGTGTTTCTCTATGACGGTTTTGCTACTCAAAGTCTTCCTGTTGATGGCATGTGACTGAAGAACTGTGAGCGGAAAAAAAAAATTTGGCCACAGAATTCTGCATTTTGTTTCCTGTTATTATTATTTTGATATCACGGGGCAGACTTGCATTGCTATCATGTGACAGTGATAAGTTCAGGGTCTTTAGTTCAACCTCATTTTTCCATACAGATGACAAATCACCTTTCTTTACTCACCCGAATGCCTATGAACAGATCATCATAATATCCCCTGATCTTGTCAAAAGTCAGAAACAAAGCAGGGTCGTTGAGTTTGTATAGTCCCTGCAGGCTTGGCTCCAGGAGAATGAGACCAAGGCCAATCCAGACGAATTTAGATTGATGATGCAGTTGCTTGGACAGTCTTCAGTGTAGCACAACTCCTCGCAAGAACTGCCCAAGGCAGAGCCTCTTCGGCGTAGGATAGTCCATCTCACTGTAAACCCTCGAATAGAGGAATATAGAAACAAAACGGATGAGAGACTGAGCAGAAATTCAAGGTGGCCAGCAGATGGGCATATAGCAATTGATTCTTGAACATATCTGGGTGGAGATTTTGAGTGTTATCCCCTTGCGTTTGTGGGCTTCCTCTCACTTCACTAGCGCAGGACTGGACAATTGCCTTCTCACTCCACTCCTGGGACAAGGGCCTCCACTTGAGGTAGCTCTATAGCCTATTCTTCCACACGAGACAGTCATCTGGAGAGGACTCACATTTTACCCCACGGCACTTGATCTGTGAATCAACTAACTGTGGTGTACCAATTTTTACAGTTTAGTGGACAGGGGGTGGTGGGGAAGGGGGACATTTGATAAAGTTGCCCACTGTTTCAACTAAAATGACGCTTTTGAAAGAGTATTGAGACTTAATCGCGTTTTCCTGGATTTAAAACGGAATGAATGTTTGCGTGTTTGTGCCCAGCAGGATGAACCGATGCGCACATGACTGAGCGAACCCATTTGTTTTTCACCTAAAACTAGTTTTAGCGGCAGTATTGTAGCCACACGTTACACACAATTCATTATTTAGATCCTGTTATTAAATGTTAACTCCCTCACTTGGTGTGCAGGAGGTCGTGGGTTTGATCCCGACCCTGACACCCAGAGCCGGCCCAGCCACTAAGCGACCCTTGCAATTGCAAAGGGCCCCGTGGCCAGCAGAGGGCCCCCTAGAGTCACTGCTAGCTAGTGGGTGAAAAAAATCATACATCAAAGGGGCCTCCAACCAAATTTTGCTTAGGGCCCCCAAAGGTCTAGGGCCGGTTCTGCTGACACCTGTATATTTGGAGTTTGTGTGTCTCTCTCCCCATGGTCGCGTGGATTCTGCTCCGGGTCTTCCGGTTTTTCCCTCCACATTTAGAAACATGCGTTTAGATTATTTGGCTGCTATGAAGCTAAACTGTTTTTTTTTTTACCAAGGGAGGCCGCTGAGTTATATAGCTCTTTACATTTCTACATGATAAGCCACTTCGTTGAGCTATAATGTGTGGCCAGGTTGCTTCTGAAAAAGGGCTTAATTGCTCAGTGGGCCTGACCCGGTCAGATAAAAAAAATGTGTTTAGTTTAGTTTTCATTTTCTTTCGATAGGTTGCACAATGTATCTTATTAATATTGTAATTAATCACTATATTGTGGATATTTGCAAAATATAGACCTGTATAAGATGGCATTGGGCGTGGAGCGGTGGCGCAGTGGTTAGCACACTGTGCTATGAACACTATGACCTGTGGTCGATTCTAGGCCTGACCTGACATCAGCGGTGAGTGGTTTCTGAACCCCATTTCTGGATCCACCTCCCTATACCAACCTAAACTGACCAGCGTGGTGAAGTATGGTCAAACAACTCCCACGACTAACACAGCAGTTTATTGACAAATAATTTAAAAGTGATCAATTGTTTTCATATCCTGTGGATTATAATACACGTATTTTTCCCCATATATGTTAAAGCAATGGTCGGGGGTACATCTTATAATCTGGTGTGTGGTTGCGTGTGTATAAGACCAGATTTGTGTAAATTGTAGAATACGGTATTGTAATGAAACTACGATGTTGACGTTACCACTTTTTTCAAGGTGTGCGAGAATTACCTGTGCTTTGTCGCACACTGCCGCTAACCCTTTTTTTTACCATCAAGTCTGCCAAGATCAGGGTGGCAGCCTTCCCCTAACACCCTGGTGCAGCGGGCCTCTTCGCAAGAGCCCTTAAATTGAATTCCCGCGCGTTAAAGCCCCGTCTCGCAAACCCGGCCTCCCACGACCAAGCGGCCGGGGGGGGGGGGGGGGGGAGTGCATGGAACTGGCATCGCCGCGCCGCGCAAAAGAAGAGCGCATCGTTGGGATTAACCGGCGACCATGGTTCTCTCGATGATTGTCTGGCAGATGGACGATGTCATCGACGACATCATAAGCCTGGAGAGCAGCATGAAGGACGACATGATCAACGGCTTCCTGGACCCGACGACGCTCTCCCACCCGGTGGGTAGGACGCGCCACCGTCGCTTCGCTTTGCCACCGCGAGGGCGGTTTTTTGTTTGCCGTCATCGTCGTCGTTGTTGTGCTCATGAAGGGCAGCAGCCCTGCCATCGCTCGCTCGTGCAACTGCTGGCGGGATGGCCTCCGCTAGAGGGAAGTTCTGGAAAGCCTCTCTAAAACGACGGTATATGTTGTGCCTACTCTTACACGCTATCCTGCCTGGCCTGCCGATGGATTACATTACACCTGCGATGAGCACGGTTGGCTACGTATTGTGCGAAATAAGTTCAACATGTTTATTTACACGTGGTTTTTTTCTACTTTAAAATGTGGTTGTACCCATTTATACTGCTGGGCAGACTGAAGTCCTACTGGACATCTGTGAAAAAGCGCTTCGTAGGTCATCGGATTCCTCCAGTCTAAGTAAATATTTCGATTTCAAGCTTTCGTGACTGCAGGGATTCATCTTCTTGGTTCTTTCGGCTGCTTGCGTTGTGGCCGAAACGTCGTGAGAATTGTATTTTATTATGTTTAATTTTTATTATTTTATTATTTCCCATCGAAGTAAATATTTTGATTCTGAAGTGGTGGGGGTGGAATTTAAGAAAATTGTCCATCTCGTTAATGTCCCGAGTAGGAGAATGAACTAGCCACCTCTGTAATGCAAGTTCAGTCTGCCAAACCATTATACTATGGACAGAACACTGGTGTCGAAGGTAAACATTAAAGGTCGTGCATGTGTACATGATCATGTTCCGAACACGAAGCGAGCCTAGGTTTGTTGGAAAGTTAATTAGCATTAACATTTTATTACTAATCCTTTGTGTACGTGACACCCCTTAACAATCACACTCTCTTGTGTGGGGCCTGGACAAGATTTCAATGTACTGTGTCTCACTTCCATACAATTGTCTCATTGATGCGTTTTTTTAATGAGCACGTTATATCAATGTATTTGTACCTACGTAGGGTGAGATTGCATTATGTTCACCAAAATAGTGCTCTTGTTCATATTTCACTGTTCCAACTGCTGCTGACACTTGTAAAAAGAATAAACCCCGTGACCCAGCAGAGGATTGTCAAAAAAGCCGTAAATGCAAAGTACTGCAGCCACATTTACCACGAACAAGTGTGCAAATACTCCGTGCAACCAATTTATTGCTGCTATTTTGCCAGCACTCCCTTGAAAATGAGATCCAAAAGCTCAATGGATGTGTCCTGACCATATTAAGAAAAAGAAAAATTGCAATAATCATCGACATCTGCCATATGCCAGTTACCACCTTGTGACAGATTTGTTGTGACTTCAGATTAACTCGCAATATTAATATGATGGCTTATCGCTTGCGTTATAAGTGACACATCTTGCCCAAAAGTGAACTTTTTTTTAAAGATCACTGCATCTCTTATAAAATGTAAATGTTTGTCTATGTGAAACAACATATGCGTAGAACAGTGGGATGAGTAGTGCAGTGGATAGAGTGTGCGATTCACAATCAGAATGTTGTAAGATCAGGGATTGCCTCGTTATCCATCTGATTTCAATCAAACACATTCCTGCGGAGGGAGCTGGTAGTAACGTTGGGTTGCTCGGTCAATGGCCAGGGTCAACGGCAGGCGTGGTGTATTCCGCAAATATGCCCGATTGTGAGGGCGGGCACAAGCCGGCGTGAGTAGGTTAAACGTTGAGTTTTATAAGGGCACCACGGGGTGACCAGCCCCTCCCCTCCCACCCCCCACCTAGCCCCACCCTCCCCACCCAGCCCCTCCCCACCCTCCCCACCCAGCCCCTCTCCACCCTCCCCACCCTCCCCACCCAGCCCCTCCCCACCCTCCCCTTCCCACCCAGCCCCACCCTCCCCACCCAGCCCCTCCCTACCCTCCCCTCCCCACCCAGCCCCTCCCTGCACGACGGACGGACGGACACAATAATCCCTTGTGAGCTGGTGCAACCAGGAGGTTCCTACCAGTACAAACGTGCCGTGTTTTCATGAAGTCGACAGTGGATTCCTATGGATAAACTCCCCATTCACCATCGGAATATGGATTTCACAAATGGCTCATAGCTGTGAACATGAGAATAACACTGCCCAAATGTTAGTTGAGCAGATTTTTTTACGTAGTATTTTTTAAGTATTGCTGTGAAATGATGAACCTTCAAAGTCGGTTTTAAAAATCTACTGGAGTGTTATTCAATCGCTCAAAACGATGACCATGTAAGTTCTATAAGCGTGTCTTTAAAAAAATTTGTCTGTTAAGTCAACGCAGGCTGCGTCCCAGAATAGCTGGCATCATGTCACAAGTAAGCTTTATAAGTGGCACTTTTCCGATAATTAAGGTCACCACAAGATGAAATGCTGGAAGAGCTCAATGCACTCTCTAAACTGAGCTCTTCTTACCCATGTGTGCGAAATAAGTTCAATTGCCCTGAAAGAACACACGGGCACAGAGAAGATGAACACCAAATAAGAAGTGGTACGACCCATAGTTGATGCTGTAAAGTTTACGCTGCTCAATAATGATTGTCAGTACAATGAACACATAATTCATTGTTTTCTGAAAAACACGCTCAGCTTATAAGAGTATATTCCTAAAAAATGAAATATATATTTTTTCCAAAAGAGTCTCAAGCCATTTTTTTCTCGGAGGGTCCTGCATCGCGACGTTAGGCAAATTCCCGAATGATCGTTTTGCAACCAGAGCGGTTGAAGGAAACCCACCGATATGAGGGGACGGTATAACATTCAATAATCTCTCCAAGAGACTTGCCGTACTGCCACATGCTAGCTGCTTTCGTAGCTCTGTAGATCGAAAGTCTGATTCGTGCTCCGAAGGCCATGTGGTATTTCCATCCACATTTGTTTTAAAACTAAACTATACTATTTATTTTTAATTTTTTATCAGGCAAGGCCCACTGAGCTATATAGCTTTTTTTCAGAAGTGACCTGGCCACAAATGATAGCTCAAATAAGTGGCTTTTCACGTGGAAATGTATTGCAGCCAAATACTCTAAACGCACATTGCTTCTAAATATGGAAGGAAAAACCGGAGGACAAGGAGAAAATTCCACACGATCACGGGGAGAGAGAAAGAGAGAACACGCAAATTACAAATATACAGCAGGCATCAAGGGTCGGAATCGAACTCATGACCTCCTGTATACCAGGCAGCGAGGTAGTTAACATCTCGCCACCGCGTTTGCTGGGCCTTCTCTGGCATGGGCACCAGCTGCTCGTCCCTGCGTGTTGATCACGAGCGCAAGCAAAGCTCCGCTGTGGCGTGTGCGGTGTGCAGGTGGGCTTGTCCGGCGGACTGCTGGAGGGGTATGCGGGGCCGGGCATGGTGGTGCCGGGCGTGAACATGCCCAATGGCTCGTGCCACGGGGGCTTGCCCGCCATGAAGAGGGAGCACGCGGGGAGGGGTGAGTGTCTCCACGTGTACGGGGGGGGGGGGGGTGTGTCGTTCTCTCGGTGTTCATTTCGCCGCGTTTGTCCGACCTCTTCGATGGTAAGTGAGGACAATTTTCTTTCCAGGTCAGGCCGAATTAGCTATATAGTACTCTTTTCCAGAAGCGACCTGGTCGCTTATAGCCGCCAAACACTCTAAAAGCGTGTTTCTAAACGTGGAGGGAAAGACCAGAGGACCCTGAGAAAATTTTACGCGACCATGGGGAGAACATGCAAACTCCAAATATACAAGCGTCATGGTCGGGGTCGAAACTACGACCTTTTGTACACCAGGTGACTAATCGCCACTGTGCCTTCCACGGTGGAGCCTGTGGAAGGCACGGGTGAAGCATCCTGTCGCCGTGATAACCCTGCACCTGCATATATGGTTCAGTAAGGCGTAGGGATGATTAGAGTCTCATCTGTCCATCTCTCAAAGCAGTTGACGCATTCTGTTGCAATTTAAAGGCAGCCGAAAGACACGGACATTGTCCCTAATAACACAACGATATATACCATAATATTAATTTACAGTCCTCGTGTTAATCTTCTGCTGGGTGAAGGCCACCCCACTCCGTGTTGGTGGTGGGAGTTTCTGGGCCCTACTTGAACCTTACTTGAAACAGCAATCGTGCTGTGACGGTTCCACCTGAATACGGAAGCTTGTGTTGCCTCCGAAACGTCGTGATTTTTTATTTTTATTTTACTTTAATTAATTTAATTTTTTTACCTACGTGACTTTACCGAAAAAACCTAAGAACTTGAACCACAGTGGTCGATCCGAGTGGGAGAAGGGGTGCCAGGACTCTTTTTTTTTCGCACATCCCTCGCCGGTGGCGTCGGCCACGGCTGAGACTCAAACTCGGGTTTTGCCGGCTTCAGCTGAAGACCGCAGTTGCTCCTACGACTGCGCCACCCTTCCACCACCTCTTGTTAGAATATTAATACAAGCGTAACGTCGACGAACGTTGGCCCCTGCACCATTAATCCTCACCGCCAATATTGTGACGTTCCCTTTCACTCTTCACCCACCGCACGCTTGTATAAGATGAATCGTACGGGGTGCCCGGGCCTAGGAATTGGCAGAGGTGACTGAAACTCGAGACAGAGACATACAGGGGGGGGTTTGTTTCTCCGGTGGATGTTAATGGTGAGAATGTTCAGTCCTCCTCGTAAGGAAAATCACTGTCCGTCGTCCGAGCTGAGGCTGGGACACGCGAACCCCAGAAAAGTGGTCTGGATGGTGTAAGAAGCGAGTTTTTTTTGTTTAGGGCAGATAGCCAAGCATGTGACGTGCATTAGCGTGGCTGGGGGCAGAGCTTTCGCAAACAAAGATCGCTCAGTGTGGCCTGTGGGGTGGTATGTGATAACAAGTGCTAAGAAGCACTGTTTGCATGCATTGGACCCCCGTTACAGCCTCCAGCCTGTGTACTTTGAATGTGGAAATGCAAATTGTTAGTGAACAAGCGCTGAGGCTATTCGCATTTGAAGTACCCATCGTTTGCACAGCAGTGTTGTTTACGAATTTCGGTGTGATGCTTTTGAACACCAGGGATACGTGTGTATGTGAAGTTTGGCTTGCACTGGCTGTAAACGTTATATTACTACGCTGTACATAATCGTCTTCATCAGCCATGATCAATCCACCGCTGGATGAAGGCCTCCCAAAGGCGTGGACTTTTTTCAGGACCTTGGGATGTGATCATTCACATAGGAACTAATCCATCTCCTCATTGGATTCCCTCTTGGACATTTATCTATAAAAATTAGTGTAATACGACTATACTCTGCGCGTGTAGAGTATATAAACAAGTGAACGGACGTTCAATTCAGCATTTATCCAATATGTGTGGTCGCCTCTCTGTTGACAGCCACTCCACTCTCTAAGCCTCAACGTATCTATGTTGAACTTCTTCCGTGCAGGTATGTACCAATTCATGTTGATCGGAGGGAAGAACAATAAACTTAAATGCAACAAGCAGCTCTCAAGATATGAGTTTTCAATCTAGATTTAAAAGTGCGTAACTTCAGCGGCTAACTAATATCGGAAGGAAGAGCGTTCCAGACGGCCGCAGAAGCGCGTCTGAAAGCGCGCGATGCGGTGACCGTCTTTGTTCCATGGCTCGCGAAAAGCCGCTGCGTCATCCCTTCTAGCGACACGTCCAGCACAGATCCACTTACTATGCTTAACGGTCACTTTTAAAATTAAAGCGTCACATGTGGACAAACAATGAATAAATACATTTCTGAAACCCTGGCGAGTATTATTTGTGCCACGCGGCGTGTTTAACTTTGTCGTGGTGGTGTGTTACAGATCCTGATGTCCGGGCCCTCGCTAAAGAACGTCAGAAGAAGGATAACCACAACCTAAGTGAGTTTCATGGACAAACAAAAAGCAGCGGACAGAATTGCACACAATGAAATGCCCGTAATTATCTAGATGACCAAACTTCAGTTCGCCCATTTCAACTCATCCTCATTAAAAAATGCGTTGAGCGTATTTGGCTGCTATGTCCAAATGATGAGCCACTTCGTTGAGCTATCACTTGCGGCCAGGTCGCTTCTGAAATAGAGCTGTAGATCTCAGTGGGCCTTAGCTGGTAAAATACAAATTGTAAAACAAAAAGTGTAATTTAATCAGACAAGGGGGTGGAGCAGTGGCGCAAGGTTGTTAGTGCACTGTGCTGTGAACTCGGTGACTTGCGTTTGACTCCCATCCAGTGGTGAACGATATCTTAACCTGTCTTGGGCATCCCTCTTAGTCAGCAAGCATTGATCAGTGGAGTGAAGATGATCAAACGACCCCAATGACCAACAATTGTTACCACGGCAAGCACCTTTGTGCTTACCGTTGTAATAATGTACTGTTATTTACAAAGCTCACAAAGAAAACGTGAGAAAAGCTGAGAAGCGTGGAAAGAAAGTTCGAGGGTTGCATGCTGGGAATTTTAATTCAGAGACAAAAAAAGAGGAACAGATTCACCAGAGAACAAAAGGCTTCTGATTTGCTTTTGTTCCCAGCATAGGATGGTGGCTACCGCAAGGGATGATGGCCAATGTGAGACACTGGTGACAGAACTGGCAACTAAGGGTCACGTGAATTGTAAAAACCGCATGACTGCTCGGGATGGTGGCGGCACGTGGAGGTCGTGGAGGCAAACGCCTGCAATCCATCACTTGGTTTGGCGAGAGTTGATGGTACACCGTACAATTGTTGGGAAACTCTCTTCCTGTGGGCGTCCAGTGGGTGCCATACGCTGGCTCGACAGGAGAAGGCAGAACAGCAAAAAAGTGGGCTTCACCTATTCCGTCTTTGTGGAATATAATGTTGCCCCATCACGCATGTGGGTTCTGTCTGGGTGCTCCAGTTTCCTCCCACATGTAAAACACTCATTCATTGTCCGAAAACACCTTTATACATAGAGGACCGCAGAGCTTGGGAGTAATTTGGCATCGGCTCACCACGTGGCTGCCTTTTCCGCTTTGTGGTTCCTCATGCCTCTGAGTTGTTCTCTCTTTTCAAAAGTCAGCAAATTCTACGCGGCGCATTAAAGTTGGAAATTATTATTATACACTAGTGAATTGACTATGACTGATCATTTTTTATGATCATTATTATTATGAGGCTCCTAAATAATTTCTTGTCACAAGTTATGAATGTGCAAATAGGGTGTTCCGTAACAGTGGCATCGCATGATTGGCATCGGCTCTGGTGCAAGGAATTCAATTGGGGGGAGGGGAAGGGGGGGTCTGTCCAATTTCCTCCCACGTCTCGATCCCGTGATGCCTGGGCCTCTCTAGCCCCTTGGGCCCTGGCGTGCCGTCGCACCGCCCTGCACACTCGCTAGCTATGCCACTCCCGCAATGTCATGCCGTGCGCGTTTTACCTTTCGTAGTGACGCTCACCTTGGCGATGCTTTTCTTTCACGAACAGTTGAGCGCAGAAGACGGTTCAACATCAATGATCGCATTAAGGAGCTTGGAACGTTAATCCCCAAGTCCAACGACCCGTAAGCATTTATTCTTGATTCTCTTTCCGCACAGCACTCGTTTTTTTTCTTCCGCCACAGAGGTTGCGTTTCATAATAATAAGAATAATGAGAAAAATTATTAAAATGTTTTATATGTCCGTATTGCAACACATTCATCTTTGAGGTGTGATCATGTTTCAATGTAGGCACATATAAAGTAGACACATACAAAGTAGACACATATACAAAGTAGACACATACAAAGTAGACACATATACAAAGTAGACACATACAAAGTAGGCACATACAAAGTAGGCACATATATAAAGTAGACACATACAAAGTAGGCACATACAAAGTAGGCATATATAAAGTAGACACATGTACAAAGTAGACACATATACAAAGTAGACACATACAAAGTAGGCACATACAAAGTAGGCATATATAAAGTAGGCACACATACAAAGTAGGAACACATATAAACTAGGCACATATAAAGTTCATCTTCTTGGTTCTTTCGGTAAAGTCACGTAGAAGGGAAGTAATAAAATAATAAAAATAAAACATAATAAAACAATTCTCACGACGTTTCGGCTACAACGCAAGCAGCCGTCTTCAGGTGAAGAATGAGACAATGCCAAGCTAGGAGCTTATATATAAGCTGCGTTGGAGGTGGAGGAAAGAGCGCCTTAACAAAAGAATGTGCATGTGAAGAGGAATTTAGCATATTCATGGAAAATGCGTAGGAGGTGGGCGGGGGGGTTTCAAAGTCATATTATGCCCATGCATTATGCAGGATCAACAGCACCAAGGGGGGGGGGGTGCAGGGATTAGCAGTAACAAAGGAAAGGAATGTTAATGATATGTAGCTGCAGTTACTCAACCACCACGTAGAAAAGTAAAGTATAAACTACATAAAAAACTAAAGTATAAATAGCATAGCACCATCAGTATACTTACTATACTCTACACTAAGCTGAGTTACTAACAGCAAGTAATACATTACAATTCTACGTCGTAAAAATTATATAATATGCTTCCATCTAAACTTTATTCTATTGCATCAACGAGCATATACCGTACTATATACTGCCAACATTAAATTATATACTGTATTGCTGTAAACCAACCTATATCTTATACATTTAATATAACACTATGTATTATTCTACCCACCCTAATGTGTGTCGAAATGGTTTATTACGTCCTTCCAATGATTGCTAAGCCAGAATCCATCTTCTCGGTTAAAATTGTCTCTGTGTTTGTATATGTGGATCGCCTCATGAACGAATCTCTCATGATAGCCAGATGGCTTGCAGAGAACCTCTGTCTTGGAGAAGTCAATGTCATGTGAGCCCACTGAATTGTAACAGTGATCTGCCACGGCTGAGGTGTTTGTCCTACCGTGTTTCAGGTCTGCCTTATGTTCACGGATGCGGTCCGAGACATGTCGTTTGGTTTCTCCAATGTAACTGCTACCACAGAGGCAACTTAGTTTGTAGACGCCAGGGTACTGTATGTCTGGAACCACATCTTTTACAGACGGGACCAGATCACGGATTTTATGTACTGTGTTGAATCGGACCTGGATCTTGTGTTTAATCAGGATTTTGGAGATCTTTTTTGTGACCCCAGCAATGTAGGGTAAGGTGATGGTCTTGAAAGGCTCCTCAACAGGATCCTTCTTGATGGTTGGAGTGATGGCTTTGCGGATTGTGTAGTCGGAGTAACCATTAGCCTTAAGAGCTTGGCGTACGTGTTTGAGTTCACTGGAAATGTGTTCATGGTCGGAGATGCATTGGGCTCTATGATATAGAGTCTTGATGAGGGAATTCTTCTGGGATGGATGGTGGTGGGAATCCGGTTTTAGATAAGCATCCGTGTGGGTGGCTTTCCTGTAGACAGAGTGGCTCATTGAACCATCAGGTCTCCTTTTGATTAGGACATCCAAAAAGGGTAGCTTGCCATCATTTTCGACTTCCATGGTGAATCTGATGGCTGGGTGTATGGAATTGATGTGGTCGAGAAATTGGTCTAGAGCAGGCCGGCCATGTGGCCAGATGACAAAAGTGTCGTCTACGTACCTCTTCCATAAGGTCGGGCGTAGAGTGGCAGTCTGGATGGCGTCCGTCTCAAATTTCTCCATGAAGATGTTGGCTACAACCGGAGATAGGGGGGAGCCCATTGGGGTGCCCTCAATTTGCTTGTAGAAGGTTCCATTCCAGGTGAAGTATGTATTGGTTAAGCAGTGTCTCACCAGGGGGGGTACCCCAGCATTCAGTCCTTGATGAACCAAGTCTTCAATGATTGCGATGGTGTCAGGCACAGGCACCTTGGTGAACAAGGAAACCACATCAAAACTGACAAGCAGGTCGTCTGGGGACAGGGCAATCCCCTTGATTGTCGATACCAGGTCAGTAGAGTTTAGTACTGCAGAGGTGGTTTTTCCAGTGAAAGGCCGTAGGATTTCGGACAAAAAACGAGCCAGTTTGTAAGTGGGGGAGTTGATAGTAGAGACAATGGGACGAAGAGGTGTATCTTCTTTATGTATCTTTGGCAAGCCATACAATCTTGGTGGCCTGGCTGCAGAAGGTTTCAACGAGAACTGTTTGGTCTGATCAATTAATGCGGTTGAAGCAGAAATGATGTTGTTGGTTTTGGAGACGAGGCTGTTAGTGGGGTCTCTTTTTATTTTTGTATAGCTGCCATCGTTGAGTAGTTCTTGAATTTTGTTGTTGTATTCTATTTTGTCCATGATGACAGTGGCATTGCCTTTGTCGGCTGAGAGGATGACAATGTCATCCCTCTTTTTTAATTGAGCTAATTCAAAACGCTCATCTTTGCTAATGTTGCTAGCTGGCATCTTAGCGTTTTTGAGGGTTACAGAGATTTCAGATCTTGCTACGTCTGCAGCGATGTGACTCAAGCCCTTGAGAGCTACATCTACTCGAGCAATTATATCATTAACTGGTATGTGTCTAGGTGTGACTGCAAAGTTTAGTCCTTTAGCTAAAACGGATTTCAAACCTTCAGAAATAGGACTGTTACTGCGATTAATTACGACTTTGTTAACATCTAGCTTTTCAATGTGTGGGTCCGGTTTCTTACGGCTGCTTGCGTTGTAGCCGAAACGTCGTGAGAATTGTTTTATTATGTTTTATTTTTATTATTTTATTACTTCCCTTCTACGTGACTTTACCGAAAGAACCAAGAAGATGAATCCCTGCAGTCACGAAAGCTTTAAATCGAAACATATAAAGTTGGCACATAGAAGCCAGGCATGGTGGCTGGCGCACGACCATGAGCCCAACATTTTGGGTGCGGGAGTTTGTGGGTCCCAAAAAATTTGTGGAACTTCCAAACCCCCTCCACGAGCTGCAAGGTGACCCAAGTGGCAGCAGAGCAAGTTTATTGATGCCAATAGTGCGGAGTTTTTTAAAAAAATCCATATTCCCGCATGAGCGTGTGGTGGGTTTTCTCCAGCCACTGCTGTTGTGGATCCACGAGCCAAACACTCGACAGTCGCCGAGGAAAATCGGAAAAATGTTCAATTGTGGAGCCTTTTCTGCAAAGGAAAAATTGTCTTAAGACTAGATGAGGCCTGCCCTGGTGAAACAGAGGCGAGTATTGTTATCGCTATCTTATAATCCGTAATTGCAACACTTGTAAAACCTGGGTTACCCTTGGAAAACAAGCGCCGTAACTCAGAATGACTTCACGGTATACATTTTCTTTCAAAGACCTCTGTATGTTGAAGTAAAAGCAAGTCATTGTTGCCTGCATCATCGTAATACAGACTCGGTTGACCCACGCGTTGGCTCTTAATGAAAACACCGCAGTGGCGTTGTCTTTAAATGCACTTTCCGTGTACCTTCGTTTGTTTGGTTACGTGCAAATTAAAAATTGGAAAAAAGTAATTATTATTCAAACCGCTACTCTACCCGCGCAGTGCCTCGATATGTGTTAATATTTTAGTTGCATTGTACCAATCAAATTGCATTAGAGAATTGGACAGCCCTCTGCGAAGTATGCAATTCTGCACGTATTACTGTGGCTGTTGTGAGCTCACGTAATTACTTTCTCATTCATCCCCTTGTGGTATTAACTTGTATTAAATGTCTCATTAGCCTTCACGCACGCTCCCACACAAACTGCTTGCTCATGCTCATGAATGCACACGGTCGTTAAAGTGTAGTATTGTACAGAGGGAGCTGGCACCGCTGAGATCCTGGGTTTTAATATGGAAAGCCGCTCGCGATTCAACCAGATTCTTAAGGTTAACAAGCTGATGGTGTCAGTCCAGTTAATAATAACTGCACCAAAAAAAAATCCAATCACCAGAAATTTAATTCTGCACGTAACTTTGATAAGTTCCAGCTATGAGAGTTATACAATTGTTGGTTTGGCTGACATCCGCTGAACATATTTTTCTATCAGCGTGTGCGGGAAGCGTATTTGTTAGTGTGCAGAGAAGAAAGGCTCTCTTTAAGGGATCTCAGTACCAGTTCTGTGATGTCTCCTTCCATGGCCCATTATCTAACGTATGGGATGTTGCGTTACTCTGTGAGAGTTCCAAATAGATATAATCGTCCCATGACCCTAATGCCAATAGCACAATCAGAATTAACATACAATTGCAGAAGAACGCTCTCCGATGCATTTTCGGGTTGTCCCGCGTTTTGTTTGGCACGATGTCCGACGTTTCGCTGCACGTACTGGGAGCTTCCTCGGGAACCCGAAGACAAATCAAAGTGCTATGCAGCGCAACCGTGACAACCTATGCACAGGAATTCGTTCCAGCCGGGTGTATCCGGTTCGGCAACCCTAACAAGACTCCCGACCCGGCACACCACATCCGATATCCCTTAGAGAAATCGCTGCGGCTACTCGTCACATGTCCACTCCAGCTAGCTGGCTGGCAACGTGGACACATATTCAGCGAGAAAAAATAACAAAGGCCCGCCTACGCAGCGCAGAAAACAAACCTGTAAAAACAAAGCAAATAAAACAAGAGAAGTGACCTGTGCGAACGCAGGGACATGCGCTGGAACAAGGGAACCATCCTGAAGGCGTCGGTCGACTACATCCGGCGACTGCAGAAGGAGCAGCAGCGCTCGCGAGACATGGAGGCTCGCCAGCGCCGGCTCGAGCACGCCAACCGCAGCCTCGTCATGCGGGTGCAGGTGAAGCCGGCGGCCGGCGCGAGTCTCTGTGCACGCTCGTCAGAGGTGTAGCTAGGGGGGTGCAGGGGGGTACACGTGTCCCCGGGCGCCAAGGTAAAGGGGCGCCAAATTTAGGCTTACAACGTTACATTATAACTTATTGCGGCGGGCGCGGCAGCCTGAAACTACTGCACAAATCTACACCTCAACCTAAAAGTTTATATATCCCGCTACACACAGCCTACATGTCATGTAATTACATTTTGGTATGTGATTAAACGGGGGGGTGGGGGGGGGGCCAATTTTATAGTTCGTCCCCGGGCGCAAAATATCCTAGCTACGCCACTGACGCTCGTCATGCCGTACTTCTTACGCTGCTCGTCCACGCTCTCCGCCACCGCACCTCCGATTAGCACGGTTGGCTACGCGCGGTTGCGAAAGAAGTTCAAACGTGTGTGTCACGTGGTCGGGGTGAAGCTGTCGCGCTGGTGGTGAGCGCGACGACCGAAGCTATTCGCCCCGCGAGATGAGATTGGCTCGCTCCCGTGGCTTACGTTAGTTAGTGAGCGAGTGATATCTGAACCGGTCCCGTTACACGGTCCTGGGCCCTTCTCGCTTCACCAACCCGCAGTGAACAGCGCAGTGAAGTATAGTCCCATGGCCCTCACGGCCCTCATGGCAATTGGGGGAGGCTCTCATTCAGTGGTGGATTGACAAAATGGCTACTACATGCACACGTGTACACTTTAGATTGTTTTTTCTACCCAGTTACCTTTGTCATTACACTTAGAATTCGAGACAACAGAAGTATAGATCAAAGGTGAGTAAATGTGGCAACGATCTAAAAAAGAAACATCCCCTCTACGTAATGCGAGGTCGTTTTGATAAGAGCAGGGGTCAGCAAACATTTTTTTTTCCAATTTGGTAATCAACGGAATATTTCAAGAGCCGCAGTGCAAGTGGTGAATACGAGACGGTGGGTCGTGAATGCGCAACGTCACGAAGCAGTCTTTAAAGAGCCCGCATGCGGCTCTGCAGCCGCAGGTTGCTGACCCCTGGACAAGAGGGTGTTTGACCTCACCTGGGGAGCAGTGGCGGCTCGTGACATGTCCACTAGGTGGGGCTGTTGTTAGTGACCTTTGAATATATGGTGTTCTAATTAATAAAAACCTCGTCATGTCATTGCCCTACCCGTGAAAGTGATACAACTGTCTTATCTAACAACGGTAGGACTTTATAAACAATACGAAACAAAACAACAAAGCACTTTAATGCTGTTCCCATGATCCTCAATTCTACACGACACAGCCGCTTTGACACTGCCAAAAGCCTAGAGAGTGTAGGCTGACCTACATTTCCCCAGTGCCACCTCGCATTGTGACATCGTGATTACAGCCACGGGTGCCTTTCTCACCGCCCTGAATGGGTCTCAAACGACGTGGATAAAATGCGAAGCTGCGAATCGCAACGAATGAAGGGAAATCTCTCACCCGGACGGCTTCACAGCCGCCCCGAGACCTCCCCGAGGCACAAGTCAGACTGTGGTGCTGCAGTGGTTTCGAATATGAACAACTTAACATCTTCATTAGGCAATTCACGTTGAAAGAATCGTTACATTTACTGTTTTTTTACACGACAAAAAATGTATAGGAAAGTACTTTTTTATTAGAAAAATAATTTCTCCAGCTGCTTGGTGGGGCGGCGCCCCAACACCCCTAGTGGACGAACCGCGCCTGCTGGGGAACTTAAAGAAACATTTTCTGGCATCTGGCGTTGGGTAACGGGCAGTGCGTGAGATTTTCCACTTGTCACCACCAGGGGTCGCTAGGACCAATTGGTAAGACGTTAGGTAGGGGGTGAAGTCTAAAACGGTCGGCAGAAGGTGACGTTGGAACGCCAGGGCCATGCAATTTCAACTTTCCTATCATGCCGCTGATGTTAGCCATGGCCAGGATTCGAACTGAGGTTAGCAGGTTAATTGACCACTGACCACTCGACCCCCCATAAAACACACACAATCCCCTGCGCCAATTCAGATAAGCGTCGAATACCGTTTCGATTTAGCGTTCCATTAACTCTGCATTAGGGTTCAGGCCCATGCCGTTCATATTATCACGTACATCACTGAATTATTAAAACGGCCCCATCGTGCCGAAAGTGAATGTGACAGTGAATGGCTTCACTGCTGCCCTCCTCCCCGTGTGGCTCTTCTCCCGACCAGGAGCTGGAGATGCAGGCGAGGGCGCACGGCCTGCCCACACCCTCGCAGGCCACCGTGGATCTCAGCAGCTCGTCCATTAAGCAGGAGCCGGGCATCCCATCCCACAGCCTCGAATACTCGCTGCTGCCCACCGCCCCCATCCCCGCCAACTCCAGCCACGTCACCATCCTCGACCTCAACGACGGCACCCTCGGCTACTCCAATCCGCTGGAAACGGATCACCAGGACGTGTTGGGTCACCACCACTCCGAGCACCTGTCCGGTCACGGGGACCCGGCGGCTAACTTTTTGGACTATGGCAGTGGCCCGTTTGGCAACGGCTTGAGGCTGAGGGACTTTCTGCTGGACGACGGTATGTCTCCGATCGGCGAGTCGGACCCCTTACTGTCCTCCATCTCTCCATCCGCCTCCAAGTGCAGCAGCTTCAGTGACGATGACGACGACGACGGGGAGGAAATGTGATCCGTCGCCTCCGCGGGCAAAATGTCCGAAGATTTGTATCTTTTTTTGGGAAGTTTTATACGGAATAAAAAAAAAGCAAAGTAGCTCAAGTTATTCTTCAGTTTAAAGGTGCAATACGTGATGCTTAACCGTTTCCACGATGCGTGGCACACTTATGTCGGGTGCTCGGTGCAGTCCGGCGCGTGATTTTCCTTCCGCCGATCTACCAAGTTCTGCCAAACGAGAGGACCCATGTTTACAACGCTTGCATTTCAATGAAGGCGGAGTCGCTGAGAAAACCACGCGGCGGGCAGCACTGTGTGAGGCTTGCCAAACGAATGCCACTGCCGGCCCATACCCAATGTGTTGCAACAAAGACACGCACGCCAAACAGGAGATCAACACAATGTGAAGCGAGTTGCGTTGACGATGGTTAAACGGGTGCATTAAATCCACTCTGGGCCAATACCATATTTTCCCCGCTTTGACGAAACGGCTGACTTGCCCCCTACACCCTCCTTTTGTTTTAGCGGAGATATTCGCCTGCTTTCGCCCGCAAAAAAAAAAAAGGACGGAAAAGTGGCCACATCCACGAACGCCACGTTACGTTCGCCCCCTCTATAAATTTCCAATGCACGTGGCATCGCTGGAACCTTGGTCAGCCTCATCCGCACGTGCCAACGTGTAGTCTCTCAGTGGTGCATCGCAGACATCGCAGACATCGCACCTCGCCCCCCGCCCCCGGGGGGAGAGTTTTTTGACGGGTCCGTGTGCAAGTGCGTGAAGTCGTTTGCGCGAAAAAGAGGGCCTTGACACCGACGCACAAAGCCCCCGCTTCTATATCGAGCAAATCCACGGAACCCGTCACAAACCACGTGAGCCCCGAGTCGTTGTGTGACGTTAAATCTTGACGGGGGTCGGTTTTGAGTGCGTGGGTGTTCGGCGGCGCACAATGTGCAGTGTTTAGCCTGCGTGACTTATTGTACCTTTAACACTAAATAAAAGAAAACTGTTTTATTAAACAGATATGTACATACAGTATAAATATATTTTTAAGATTTTAAAAGACTGCTAAGTCTTTTTTTATATACATATATACTTTTTCAATAACTTGTACATCGGAACATGTTTTTAGAGGTTTAATCTTGCGATTGATACTGTACGTCCAAAGTCACAGGGCTGTCAAGTGAGGGTAACACCATTTTTTGTCAATCTAACCTGTCAACCGGAAGTAACTCAAATGATCTCAGAAGTACTTCTGTGGTTCCTGCTTCAGTGGGCCCTTCGTTCACTTGCGGGAGACCCCAAAGTCTGCTTCATCTCATGATGTGACACACGAAGCAGTCAGGATAAATTGGAGGAAAAAATATGAAAAATCACACACTATAAATGAGTGCAATGAGGGTTATATGATAATGATGATATTTCTAGATTTGAAGCTTTCGTGACTGCAGGATTCATACTCTTAGGTTTTTTCGGTAAAGTCACGTAGGTAAAAAAATAATACTGATACAGTAAATTTAGCTTGACGGTCCCACCTGAAGACGGAGACTTGTGTTGCCTCCGAAACGTCGTGATTTAATTTAGTTATTTTTCATTTATTATTATTTTATTTATTATTATTTTACCTACGTGACTTTACCGAAAAAACCGAATAGTATGATGATATTTATTTTGAGTTTTTGGTGAATTTGGAAAGTATGTCTGCATTGTGTGTTTTAGGATGCTAAAGTTCTGGGGGAAGGAGTTTAGTGTTAGGCCCATCGAGACTTGACAGCCCTGCGAGCTATAATGTAATTTCAACTTACATATTATGCAAACTATCATAGTCTTCGAATGGTTTTGTTAAACAAAACAAATGCAAAGGTTGTGAATGTTAAGCTGCGACTTGCTGCCATTTTATATTAAAATGAAAAATGTGCCATTATTGTAAGCACTGTGAAACACGAGTTACCAAATCCTGAACGGCAATGCAAACAGCAAATTCACTTTGGCATGAGCCTCATTTTCCCAGTGCAATCTAGAGGGGTAAATGTGCATTTACAAATTCCTTATGTTTCAAGTTAGCCTACTAAGCTCTGGAATTAAGATAGCCCTCGTCATCATTGAGCCCTCAGCCGTGCGTTGATACGGCCTAGATTCGGTGTACAATATATTGTTGGTTGGTAGTAGTGCCAGGTACATAAACATAGTCGCTGGATAATCACTGGCGTTTTAGTGTCATCCCCCCCTCTCGTCGTGGATTTTCTTTGCGCACTTTGCTTTCCTGGCAAGTGCAGAATAAAGATGATGTTGGGGAAAAAATCTCACAGAATCTCTGTGGGATATAGAATCCAGGAGGCGTAGAATCCAAGGAACCTAATTTTGACAGTAAAATGTATTATCAATAATACACACTAATCGATCATTTAAATAATGTAACTGCCCATAATAGACGGGTTTTGGGTTAGATCTGGCAAATATAAATGTGTCATAAAACCCGCCACCACCCGACACAGCCAATTAGTAAGGTTTGTCACGTAAACAAAACGTGGCCAATTCGTTACTAGTTCAGCACACCGGTGTGTTGGAGAGTAAACCTCACTACAACATTTACAATTGGAGTACTGTGACATTTCTCCGGTAATTTCAACAACCAGCCTCATCAGGCGACAGCCAGAATTGTGGAAGAATCCTCCTTTTATTCTCCGGCTTCAATAACTTGACTGTCCTTTTGTCAACAACCCACCGCTGGATGAGGGCCTCCCTACCGCTTGTCGGCGGTTGTTCTATCAACTGTCGTTGCGGTGGTCAGCGCTGGTGGTGGTTTAAGGAGGTGCCAGGACCTCGTCAGATTCACTCGCCAGTGATGTCAGCTTTTTCGATTTAAAGCTTTCGTGACTGCAGGGATTCATCTTCTTGGTTCCTTCGGTAAAGTCACGTAGAAGGGAAGTAATAAAATAATAGAAATAAAACATTAAAAAAATAATTCTCACGACGTTTCGGCCACAACGCAAGCAGCCGTCCTCAGGTGAAGAACAGGTCTGTCGGAAAGACAGACGTGTTCTTCACCTGATGACTTTCCGACAGACCTGTTCTTCACCTGAGGACGGCTGCTTGCGTTGTGGCCGAAACGTCGTGAGAATTATTTTATTATGTTTTATTTCTATTATTTTATTACTTCCCTTCTACGTGACTTTACCGAAAGAACCAAGAAGAGTGATGTCAGCCTTTGACGGGAATTTAACTCAGGTTGCCAGGTTCATAGCACAGTGCGCTATCCGCTGCTCGACAGCACAATATTTATCCGTGTGTGCATTGCATTGCATTAGCAATGTGAATTGCAAATGCAACGGCACTCCGGATTATGTAAAAAATAACCTTGCTCAGTGGACACTGTAGCTGAGGGGTTGGGTAAAATAAAAATCATGTGATCTGAAGCAGGAATCCAAACACGTATTATTTGCTTGTGGATCTCAGCCACCTCCTGTCCCTTTAGCGATAGATGATTTTGCTTTATTACGGCGTGACATGTGTGGTGTTGCATCGCGCCTCAACCCGTCCCCACCTCATGTCCCCTGCCCTCCACAACTCCTTCTCACTTTTTTTTGTCGTGTTTAGTTTGTGCTTCACCCCGCACCTTCGATTAACACGGGTGGCTACGTACGGTGCAAAAAAAGTTTCAACATAGGTACATACTTAAGCCTCTTGCCTCTAAAATCGTCGCATCGCCCGTGTACTTCCCTGTGTAAAAGCCAGACCCAGGGCCCCTTTTAAAAATGATTTTCTTGAGCCACTGCCTTTACCTGAGCGTGCATTCGTAGTCTCAAGCAGCACACGCCATAGGGATGAACTGAAGAAGAGCATTTATTGTTTTCGATGGAAAGCGATTGGTTTATAAGAGCATAAAAGGGTTCGTTCTCGTATATTAGCCTGCAGCAATCTCATGTTGTAATAAATAGCATCGAGTGCCTTCAAAATATTTCCTTCAAAGTGAATGTGTGCGTGTCTTAGTTGCAGCGTGCAGCATATATCTTACTCCTGTGATCGTTACCTTTTTTATAATACAGCAACTGATTTTGTACTTTTTATTTGAATGCAGTGTAATGGTAGGCAAATCATAGAATTATATATTGATAATACTTAATATATACACAAACTTAATATTCGTAAAGTAGCAATATATGACAGTAATTGTTGGGAGTGTGTTTTAAAGCAAAGAAACCCTTTTTTAATGGCATTGTAATATTTCTTCAGAATGTCCGACCCGGGAACTGTTTGTTACCGATGCCAGTTTTTTTTAAGCGTCCTTCAATGACCCAGTTTTTTGACAATAAATACTTTCTAATGAAAAGCACAACATCTCTCGACGCGCTTATGCTCTACTGCGGCCGCGCGCCTCCAGTCCAGGATTCAAGGCTTTTGAGACCCTACGAGGCCCAAGGTCGAGGGCCACAAGCCTGAGGTTCGAGGCTGGCAGCTGCAGGACCAAAGCTGACACCTAGGCCGGAAAGCCTTCTAGGTCAAAGGCCGCTGTTAGGGCCGGTCAAGGCGGGATCCTTTTGACTGAGGCAACTGTCAAGGCGGCTGCTTCGATGTAAAGTCCTCGGCCTGAGGTCACGCCGCTAATGCCAAGATGATGGGAGCTGAGACAAGATGTCCAAGTGCTGGCCTCAGGGACCAGGACCGGTCTTGACGAGCCAACAAGCCATGATTGCCGCCAATGCAAAATTGCAAAAGGACTGATATACACTGGGCTAAGAGCAATTATAATGCACCCTTGGTAGTTTAACCATGCCAATTCAATGCTGGATGAAGGCCTCCCCACACCGCTTATGGGGGTTGTTTGACCATACGTCAACATACATACTCGATTGAAAACTCCTTTCTTGACAATTGCTGTTTTTGTTAATTCTTTTGTCCTTAGACGCACGTCCGATTGGCACGCTTGGTTACGTACAGCGCGAAAGAAGTTCAACATACATACTTCACGCTGATCAGCGTAGGTTGATAAAGAGCTTAAAATCGTTAAAATCATTACTACCACGATGCAGTTGTGAACATTATTTCTTTATCTTATGAGCAAAAACATCTTCAAACACGTAAAGTGTAAATGTATACTGCAAACCTAAACCACAATGTGAAAATCGACTTAAAAATATAATATGTACATAAAATGGCTTAAACATTGTTCTTTGTATGGACAAGCTCGTATTATTTATGACTCACCTCTAGAATTACATGTTGTAGACATAAATCAGCCTTGACATAACTTACTCATCATTGCACGCGTAATGTACGTAAAAGAAAGATTAATTTGGCATTGTAGTGAGGTAAGCTATAACAATAATTTCAACTTGTAACACGCATAGACAGAAAGACTCAGAGGCGTGAATAACCACTTACAAGTGGGACAGGCAGCCAGGAGGTGAGCCGGTGCAAAATTCTCCCCCAAGCTCTGTGGTCCTCTGCATATTAAGGTGTTATCAGTCAACGCATGCGAGGAAACCGGAAGCACCCGGCGAAGAAAACCCCCCACGTGTATGAGGGAGGCAACGTTCTATCCCATGCAGATGGAACAGATGGAACAGGTGGAACAGATGGAGATTCGTCCCCTTGCTGTGCGGTATTCTCTAAGCAAGTCAGGGTATGGCAACCTCGACTCCCGCGGGACGGGATTTTCACGACGTTCGTGTGATCCACCCAGCCTGGCTACCGCAGTGCCCTATTACAGCCGTGTGCCACCATCGCCACTCAGACGGTAGATGCCGAATCCATTAAATGCAGACGGTAGATGCCGAAGATGAGCAACGTCACGGTTACGAGGATTGCTCGTGCAATAGCATCAACGTTTTGCAATAATGACAGCATTTCAGAAGCAGTTGAGATGACGGGAAGAAAGTATAGTTTTCCAAAGAGAACAAAATAAAATTCACACATCTAAGCACACTCGGTCAAGCTATCAAAAATGCTGTTACGTCAGATGTACATCTTTACTAAATTCAACTCCAAAGTATAGACAGTAAAACACCTCTCATTCACCACTCTTATCCACTCTTCCTAACGGATCTTATCCGCAGAGATTCGTATTATCCACAGCTCGAGTGTTTGTGTTATCGTGTATCCGCAGGTTAGAGGAGTTACCAGGAAGTGGATGTTCACAAAACGAGTCATACAGTGGCAGCCATTCATGCGGCCACTAACCTCACCATATTTATGATAATGGATTATTGATGATGACAAAGTATAAATACGATGTTAAAGATGATCATGATCATTTGCCGCTGCCACCATTATCAATTTCCGCATTTTCAGGAGCGTTTACGTTCCTGGGTAGTCGAAGACGATCTAGACCTGTCGAAAGCATCCCCAAAACACATCACTGTCGAAAAAGAGTTCCACTGCGAAGTATATTAATACTAAAAATTGGAATCCGTTTGTTTCATGCAAAACGGGGGGAGCACCGACGGCTCCACTCCAATATCCCGCCGGGCAGTGGCGTAGCTAGAATATTTTTGCAAACTATAAAATTGCCCCCCCCCCCCCCCGTTTAATCACAAACCAAAATGTAATTACGTGACATGTAGGCTGCGTGTGGCTTGATATATAAACTTTTATGTTGAGGTGTAGATTTGCGCAGTAGTTTCAGGTTGCCGCGCCCGCCGCAATAAGTTATAATGTAACGTTGTAAGCCTAAATTTCGATTCATCTTCTTGGTTCTTTCGGTAAAGTCACGTAGAAGGGAAATAATAAAATAATAAAAATTAAACATTATAATTATTTTATTATGTTTTATTTTTATTATTATTTTAATATTATTTATTATTATTTTATTATTATTATTTTACTTCCCTTCTACGTGACTTTACCGAAAGAACCAAGAAGTTGTAAACCTAATTTTGGCGCCCCTTTACCTTGGCGCCCGAGGGACACATGTACCCCCCTGCCCCCCCCTAGCTACGCCTCTGCCGCCAGGGCCCTGTGGCTGCTCGCAGCCGGCGGCTGCTCAGACGATGCTGCGCGGGATTCTGTTGCTCTTGCTGTGCACGCTGTCCTGGAGAGGCCGCCACTTGCCCAAGTGGGTCTTGTGCTTCCCGTGGCCCCACCGCTGGCACCACAGCCTCTGGCAGAATTCCTCGGCCTGGCGCGACGGTCCACCGCGGCCAAACATGGCCTGCAGGTCGCCGTACCTGCAGGCGCGGGGGTGACAGCACAGCGCAAAGCGGCGGTGAGGGGATGATCCGTGGAGAGGTATAGCGGTGGAACCGACGTCTTGACTTTGATGTCCATTTCATTTCCCACCGTGTTGATTTTCACGAAAGGATGGCAATCACCTTTCTCCAGTCGACGTTCCTGGTGCGTTGAGAAATATGACTACAGTGCCGCTTACAGCAGTCCACACAGAAAAGGCAAGGGAGGTTATTTATCGGATGAGAAACTAAAGAGTCTTGTTTCATATTTGTTACCCGCCCGGCTGGGTGTGTCTCCTGTCAGTAAGGGTATTCAGTACTGGGCAGTTGGAGGCAGTCGCCCTCCAATAATAGAGGGCGGAGGAGTGATGCTTAATAATTACTGGACTGCCGGGCGGCTAAAACGCAGCAAACAGGCATAGTGGGGAGTGCAGTTGGTGCATCTGCTAGTCAGTTCAGTCAATGAACCCATGGCACTTGGGTTTGTCCATGCCTTAGTGAAGAATGGCGGTTGTGGTTGATGTCTGTACTAGAAGTGCACTTCACAGTAATGAAGCCCCATAAATGAAGACAACTAAAAGGTCAAAGTGGATTCCCACTTGAATGAGACTGGAGTGGTGCTCACTTCAAGTTTACAGCTGTGAGCCAGTGGGCAAGATTCCACATTTCTATGGTGAGGGCAAACCTATACAAAGAAAATACACCAGCTCCACCAAAGTGGTATTGATATTATAAAACCCTGATTTACGCGAAGACACGGGATGAGAGGGGACGCAGATAAAACAGGGGGATGCCCCATTTCATTCCTTCACACCAGGCCCCAATCCGACATCGCTACGCGACTGGACACAGATGTAGATGGCAGACGTTTAGGCTTGCCATCTCGAGGTACAAAAAATAACACCATACCCTGGAAAGAATATCTCACAATACCAGATGAAGGGAGAACTACATATAATGCATTGTCTTGGGGTGTCGCATTATTACGCAAATGTAAAATACAAAGATATTTTGACGTCCCGGGAAGACTTGCAGAGCTCCCAGGTCAGCTACCCTCAACGCCCTCGGAAAACTGGGGAGAGGTGGCAACCCTACTGAGCCTGGAGAAAGGCCCGCCAACCGGCAAGTTTGCACCGAACCGACTTTGCCGTCGGCGTACCAAAGCTTGGGCACGTCGCGGCCGCCCCCGTTGTCCATCTCGTCGCACGGATCCCAGCGGCGCTGCCGGTCGTCGGTCGCGTCGTGGCCCTCGCCAGTGGCCGCGCTCGCCCTGCCCGGGGATCGCTCCTCGGCGGACCCGGCCGTCGCCGCGGCGGAGGGCCTGCCGCCGGCGAGGAGAGCTCGCCCCACCCGCTCGGCGGTGAGCACGCGAAGCTCCACGCGCAGCAGGACCCTCTGGTAGCCGAGCTCGTCCGTGCGGCAGGTGTACGAGCCGCTGTCCAGCGCGTGCAGCGTGCGGAACAGGAGGCCTTGCTCCAGCTTCAGGACCCGCTCGTCCGTCTTCACCTGTGCGGCCGGCGGTGGCGGCGCAGGAGGGACATTATCTGCAACGCCTCTTTAAGTAAGGCTGAAAGCTTCTGTCCGGAGATGGATATATAAACTTCTCAAGGGGTGAGGGAGAAGAGGGGGGGATGTCCCGGAATCTCAAGCGTTTTAACAAGGGCCCCACATTCATAATTACGTAAATACATTAAATCTATTTTCTCTGATAAGTAGAATAAAAATACCGATTTTTAATGTTTAGGTCTTAAGGGCACGAAGCGCAGGGAATGCCCCCATTGCCCCACACTGTTTCTTAGGTCCACCACTGGCTCTGTCTGAAACCGGGGGTGGAATTATAATGCTCACATATAATCCAATATGTAATTAGGTATGTTGAACATCTTTCGCACCGTACATATCAAACCATGCTAATCGGAGGTGCAGGGGAAGGACAACAAACTAAACAAAAAAAGCTGTTCTAAATAAATGAACTTACAATCTATATGATTTAAAAGTGCATAGCTCCAGTGGCTTCCTTATATCGGAAGGATGAAACGTTCCAGACGGCCACCGGAGCACATGCGGTGACCGTCTTTGTTCGATGGACAGCCAAATCCCCCCGCTGCGAGGATGACCGGAGTTCACGTGATGGTTATGAGCACAGGGGGGTGTGGAGGAGGGCGCAGTGGCAGGGAGGATGGGTGGCCCGGGGTGGGGTAGTGGGGTGTGTGGAGGAGGGCACGTGGGGCAGGGGGACATGGGGTGGTAGTGGGGGGGTGAAGGAGGGCACGTGGGACAGGGGGGCACGGGGCGGTGGTGGGGGAGGTCTGGAGGAGTCCACGCGGGGTGGGGGGCACAGGTGGGGGGGGCACGTGGGGCAGGGGGGCACGGGGTGGTAGTGGGGGGGTGGAGGAGGGCACGTGGGGCAGGGGGGCACGGGGCGGTGGTGGAGGGGGTCTGGAAGAGTCCACGCGGGGCGGGGGGCACGGGTGGGGGGGGGGCACGTGGGGCACTGGGTGGGGTGGTAGGGGGAGGTGTGACGAAGGGCACGCGTGGCGGAGGGCATCGTGGGGGCAACGTGGGGCACCTGCTCGCGCTGCTCGCTGGCGGCGTGCTGCACCAGCCACGTGATGGATGCGCGCAGGGACGGGGGGCGGCACTCGAGCAGTGAGGCGTTCCTCTCCACGCCGTACACCACCGTCTCCTCCACAGGCTCGGACAGCTCCGCTGTACGCGCGCGAGGAGGTGCGGGGTGGCGGCAGGGGCCAGCAAAGGGGTCATGGTCCCTGCCTCGCCAGTTTCCCGTACGCGGCCGATCTATGCACCCTTCCGGGTCGTCGTAATGTAAATGAATTTTAAAAATATATAATAGCGTACTCTTTGGTTCTTTCGGTAAAGTCACGTTGTTAGAAATAAAATAGAACATCACCACGTTTCGATAGCAACACAAGCAGTCGTCATCAGGCAAAGGAATCAGCTTCTAAAGGCAAATTGTTTATGAAGGTTTGGGGATGGGCTTAGCCCAAGTGTATCACAGCACCAGGAGCATAGGCGGTGCAGGAGTGCCAATGCAGCAACAATGATTTGTTTTATTTCTATCTACGTGACTTTACCGAAAGAACCAAAGAGTATGGATTCCTGCAGTCACGGTTGCGTACAATATATATTGTTTCATTTGTTTGCAACCTAAACTAATGGGAAATTTAAGTATTTTTTATTTATTTAACTGGATAAAGGCGTTTAAAGTCGGTATGTTGACCACTGTGCCAGCACAGATCCCTGGCATAGCCATACAGACTGCTGGGCAAAGCTCCGTGAGCCCCAACTAAGGCTGGCACAACAAATGAGCGGCCAGCACCATCAAGTGCTTGATGGTCACACATCTTGATAATTGTTTTTTACCCTTCTATCTGGCAACAAAACTGACACCTTTTTACAAGGAGTCATGTTTGCATAGACCGCAATACCTGCAGTCATAATACAAACAAAAGACATAACTCTGATAATGTGCACTGTCCTTGAAGTTGATTGGTCCACACCCGAGACAGCTTTCCTTAGAGCCTAGTCTCACATGGGTTGGACCAGATGACGCCAAAAGGCGCACAACTCAAAGACAATGCACCATCACAGTTTTGTTGCCAGATAGAAGGGTAAAAAAATCAATTATCATATTTTTACTGGCAAATGAGGTTCCCAGAGGTCACACATGTTGTCAGGTTCTCATTTAAGGCTGAGTCGACCTAGGCAGGCCCAAGACCAGTTTCAATATCACCACTGACTTTATCCATGGCCAGGATACTGCAGTCAAGTTGCTTTCGTTTTGGAACCCAGTGATTGCCCTCCACTCCATGAACACAACAAATTTGTGCACAAACACAGGACGCACGAACATACACGTGACTTCCCCCGTGCTAAGGCGTGTTGATGCATCGCACCTCGAGATTGCTGATCCCAGCACTGATGGGCAGCGTCTCCTTTCCTGACATCCTGCCGCCTCATCCTCCGGTTGGCCCTGAAGGCAACACGACCGAGTCCATCGGGGCACCAATGCACACCTGGGCGTCCCGTCACGCGTAATATCCCACAGCGCCATCCGTTTCTCACAGACCCCACCACCCCCCCTCCACCGTGTATTCGACGTTCTCACTCAGGCTCTATCACAATCCCACAACCGACAGACGTACGGGGCGCCTCGAGCATTGGCGTCCGCCTCTCTCGATCACCACGCGAACAAACACTCCCAAGCAGAGGTCACAATCGGGTACCCGAAACCCGTACCCTACCCGATACCCGGCTACTCGTTCCCGGCCGGTTACGAGTAGCCGTTTGCGACCCTGGTGCGGCCGGGTACGGGTACGGGTAGACCGTGAGTCACTGGTGAGTAACCGTGTGTCACTCATTTCCCAACGTCTTGTCTCTTCTCACTATTCAAGTTCCTAGAATCAACCCACCCGCGCCTGCAACATGGCTTCATCCCAGAGGTCGCAATCGGGTACCCGATACCCGTACCCTACCCGATACCCGGCTACTCGTACCTGGCCGGGTACCCGGCCGGGTACGAGTAGCCGTTTGCGACCCTGGTGCAGCCGGGTATGGGTACAGGTAAGGAATCAAAACCCATTTGCGACCTCTGCTCCCAAGCGAACGCAATCGAAACGCAAAGACGCGGTTCACCGCGCAATTGCTTCTCGGTGCTTACTCACCCAGCTCCCTGCGGCGATATTTATCGATTGCGGTTCTGCTAGTGACCCCTAGTGGTGCGAGCGTGTACATGCCGTGCATTTCTGTTCCCAAAACCTGGACCCTGGTGGACGTGAACTTCGTGAATGCATGCTCCCCATCAGTGCCGGATTAAGCTACACAAGGCGCCTTCCCCTAACCCCCTGCAGCATAACAGGAGGCATAACTTAACCCTCCCCCACGGCCCATCCTGGCTCCTGCCCCCCCCCTTAACCTGTATATAGTCTCGTGTCTCTTAGAGTTCTCCCCACTTGATACAGTAATTTTGCTGTGAAGGTGCCACCTGAAGTCGGAAGCTTGTGTTGCCTCTGAAACGTCGTGATTTAATTTATTTTTATTTTATTTTTTTACCTACGCGACTTTACCGAAAAAAACAAAGAGTACTGTAGCATATGTTATAAAGTGGCCCTAAATATTAAAAACATACATTTTAACTTGCATAGTAAAGTTATTGTATTTTTTTAATTTGCTATACAGCCAGATAATACGCCAAATCGCTAACCTTAGACACCCACTCGTTCATAAAAGTTGAAGGCAGTATAGTACTATAGTAATAGAGCTAGTGCAGAATCACTGAACCGGAATTGATAGCTTCAAAGCATTTAGCACGGGGCCCTTGAAATTGCGGGGCCCGTAGCTACATGTGTAGCTACTTTTGCTACTAGGATAATTCGGCACTGCTCCCAATGCACTGGGTTCTCTTTTCTCTCTCTCTCATTGTCATTAACAAAGATGTGAGAAGATGGTGGTGATTGTGAGTTTTAACAGGGTCAATAATATTGTCGACTTTTGGGGCAAGTTCTGATTGCGAGCAGCACCTACGAAGGCCGGCACGTCACACGAAGGAGGTGGGTGGACAACACCACGCCCGGCCGCTTTTGTCTCCCTAGTGGCGATGTAGGTTATACGGGGAGATGTTTGCCTTTGATCATGTTTTAGTATTTTGTTTCTACAAACCACATCTCTATTTTCTACAGAGAAAATGTAGGGTCGAGTGTGTGTACGTGCGTACTAGGGATGGAATAATGCGCTGATTCGTCGATTGACATTGATTCTAAAGCTCGGGATACACGCTTTCAATCGTGTGTGAGAGAATACTTTTAACGTTTATTTAATTCGCACTTGGAGTAAGTAAATGGCCTGCGTGTCACCTTGCAGCCACCACAGGCGCGACCACTCACCACAATAAGAACACACAACGAATTATGTTCCAGAATCACGGCAATTCATTGAATCACAAGTGAGCGGCGGATCATTCGACACGGACACACCAAATGTGTGCGTGATAAAAGGTAACCGCGTGTGGCTGGGCTACTGATCATGATGCACATCGGTCGACCAAGCAACAGCGGTGGTGATGATGATGACCTCGGCGGTCGTGGGGATTTCAAGGTTGTGTTAGGCAAGCACCTGGACTCCGGTGAGTTCTGTCCTGCCGTAGGAACGCCCCTCGATTTCCGGCCTGGCTGCACCCAATTGTCGACGCCACTACACAGCGCAGGTTTCAGAGCATAGTGACACACACAGAGAGCTCCTTCATCATTTATAAACAAGCGAGCGTCAACTGACCAAATTACACCGAATGCAACCGATCTCATGAGATTTCGGAAGCTTAAGCAGCGTGGAGCCTGGCCAGCGCATGGGTAGATGACCGCTATGCTCGGCATGCTGTTATACGTGGAGGGGCAATGCCATGGGCAGCAGAGGCCAGCGCACACAAATTTTTCCGGCCTTCACCTACCCGCACTGACCAGCATGGTGAGGCACGGTCATAGAGCTCCCGCAACCCGCACGGCGTGGCGAGGCCCTCGCTGAGTAATGGATTGTGACAAAGAGGCCGTACGTCTCTACGTGCGACACATGACACCGCGTCTCCCGCGGGTGCACGTTCATTTTATTCCGCGCCCTGCGGGAAAATATAGCTGAAGAACCCCCGGCTAATTAGGAACCTACCTATCGCTCGCTGTAAGCTACCATAACTCCACAAATCTGTCTGTCACCTGATGAAGCTAGTTGTAATTACTGGCGAAACGTCATACTCGAATTATAAATGTTGTGGCTTGGCTCTCCAACACACCGGTGTGTTGTACTAGTGACGAATTGGCCACGTTCTGTTTACATGACAACCCTTACTAGTTGGCTGTGTCGGGTGGTGGCGGGTTTAACGACACATTATATATTTACGCGATCTAACCCTAAAAACCTGTATTTTGTACCCTAACTTCATCACGTATTTGAAACAGATTATACGTGTATTTTGAACAAGAGCCTGGTAAAAGGCACGAACAATAATAAAGGAAGGGGACGGGTGGATACCGAAGTCAAAACTCAGTGCTCCGGGGGTTCTGAGAAGGGGAGAAGATTGGGCTCACTGCTTCCTCCCCTATCTCTTGACAAACCTCCATCGTTATCTCTACGGGACCCTTTTTCCCAGTATCAAACAAAAAATTATGAAAAGTAAGAATAGGTTTTACCTTTTAACTGCTTGACCTGAGCTATAAGTGGCCTGATGCTTGCATTGTCTTTGTGCTGTTGGCGTTGTTCTCTGCTCTGACACTGGTGTTGAGACTCGGCCATGAAGAAGGCTGTCTCTGGTGTAGGCCAATCAGTTTCAAAGACAACGTCATGTATTATCAGAGCATGTTTGTTTGCATGTTCACCACAAGTACGTGTGGTTAATGCAGACTTGATGCCTTGCAAGAGGTACCCATTCTGTAGTCGAACATCTTAACACCTCCTGCTTCACTCCACCTTTATCGTCGGCGGCTCTGTGAGAACGAGGGCGGGCGATTAACCCGCGGACCCTGCAGAGCGGACCCCGTGAGTGGAGTCCCCGGGCTTACCGTTTGCCCGGGTGCCGGTACTTGGTGCAGGAATGTCCGTCCCAAGCGCAGTAGGGGTCTCGTGCCAGGCAGCACTCGGCGCACGTGGCGCCGTACAGCTCGCACTGCTGCAGAGGACACCTGCGCCGCCGCCTCCCGCGTGCCCACGTACAGCTTGCCCTGAAATCCGCCAGCAACCAATTTGACATCGTACGTACGTGTGTGTGTGTGTTGAACCTCTTTCACTCCTCTACGTAGCCAACCGTGCTAATTGGAGGTGCGGGGGAAGGACAGCAAACTAAACAGTAAAGGTGTTTCTAAAGAAATTAGTTTTCAATCTCGATTACAAGTGCACAGCTCAGTAGCTTCCTAATATCAGAAGGGAGAGCGTTCCAGACGGCCGCATCTGAAAGCGCGCGATGCGGTCACCATCTTTGTCCGATGGCTTGCCAAATTATTGATAATTATAATAATCAATCTTGATTTGAAGCTTTCGTGACTGCAGGAATCCATACTCTTAGGTTCTTTCAGTAAAGTCACGTTATTTTATTTCTAACTACGTGACTCTACCGAAAGAACCAAAGAGTAATCATAATTTTCGTATTTTTTTTAAATAAATTTTAATTTGTAACGTGCGCAGTTTTCGTTTCACTCTCAGACAGAGAGAGAGGGGATGACTCGGATGCGTGGGATACCACAGACAAGTGAGAAGGCAGACAGAAGCTGCGCTCGCAATCACCAATGCTCTATGGCCCTATATTGGGATATTGAGTGTTTATACATGTGCGAGGAAACGGGGAGTACCCGGACGAAACCGACGTGTGTGAGAGGGGCGTAGCATTCAATGCTTGTTCAGGTGGATTTTCATCCACTAGCCGTACGGCCATACACTTTTAAAATCAGTTTCACAAACTTCCAACCCACGCCTCCAAAGTGCTGTATTACAGGCGTGCATAGCTACCAGCGCCCGGCTTGGGGAAGGAAACTTTTACATCCATAATAGCAGGGAGTCGAGCAGTGGCATAATCTTCTTGGTTCTTTCGGTAAAATCACGTAGAAGGGAAGTAATAACATAATAAAAATAAAACATAATAAAATACAATAATTCTCACGACGTTTCGGCTACAACGCAAGCAGCCGTCTTCACCTGAAGACCAAGAAGATGAATCCCTGCAGTCACGAAAGCTTTAAATCGAAATCAGTGGCATAATGGTTAGCGGAATGCACTCTGAAACCAAGATGCCCGAGTTTGATTCCTGGCCACAGCTGCCATCTGTGGTTAAGATATTTGAAGATATATGAACTGATCTTGCCACGCTCCCCCCAACCTCCTCCTCCAAAACCTCCACTCAACAACCCCTTTGACCGACACTGCATAGAGAAGTCATCTAGCAGCTGATATTTAGTAGCGAAAGCCGACTTGTTAAACGATAAACGAACAGCTGTTAAAGGCTTTCCAGTGCATTAATTCGTCGTCATCAGCCATGGTCCATCCACTGCTGGATGGAGGCCTTCCAGTCTCACGATGCTACAGTCCATCAAAGAAACGTGGATAAACGCAAGCTTGGAATTACACGCAGAGCCAGAAAGTGGAATGCGTGGATCAATCAGATATATCGTAATGACCGTTGATATAAAGCTACCGTGTGCTTGGGCAAGGCACATTGCCAGGACGAAATGTTGCCTGCTGAGCAGGACAGGTGGCAGAAAGGCAGCTAAAGGCGATAACGTTACTGAGAGCACGACCACAGTGGAGGTGGAGCAATGAAATCACGTGCGGGAGCCAGATGGATTGTGGCGTGGCACCCCAGGACTATGAAGGATGGTGACGAATGGGGGGGAGCATTCATCCAACAGTCGATAGCCAATGGCTGTTGCTGCTGCAGAGGATGATGATGATGTTAACGTGATATGATTTATTATATGTTTATGCCAAATATACTTTGTTGCCCCAAGCGGTGACTGTTCATTGAATCATGGAAGGCATTATTTTTGCACTTGGGTACAACTATTTTACGTCGAGGAGTTCCAAGAGCAATATTTTTATTGCCTAAAGTTTGAGCTCCATACCTACATAGCATATAAGAAACGCAAGCTCTGCATGTTATGGTACATTTAGATTTAAGTGGGTTAAAGCACAGCTGCAGTGAGTTTGTCTCTGTATTCGGTCTTGCCACAAATACCGAAAGCTCAAAGAGCCAATGTGAAGTCCTCCTGGGCTTACCCTTTTAACAGAGAGGTCCATGGTAAGAATTGGCGAAGGTTTCTGTGAAAACAAAACAATACATCAATGCCGTTTCAGAACAAATCTAATCATCATAAATGTTCAGGGTCCTCCTTACATACCATGCACATGACTGCATGCCACGGAGTACACAGATCAGTGATTACTACCATTACTCTTTACCTCAAATACTTGAATTTCCTCCAGAATGATTTCTTCCGGTGGAAAATCCTGGCTTGTGGATATCGATATGACTTTAAGCACTTGCCCTGTGTCTGCAGGAAACATAAAAAACGGGGGGCACTTTATCAGGCTGGAAGGTTAAGTTTTCAGGGTATTGCCTATGTCAGGGCATTGAGCCAGCTTCTCTGAGCTGGCTGCTATCCTAGTGCAGCGAGTCAAAGAAATAATTGCTTGTGAAATCTAGAAGGGCATTCGACAACTAAAGGTGAGTGGCTAACTAAGAGAGAACATAATCTACCTCTGTAGGTTACAAGTGAATGTGATTTGCGTTGGAGCAAAGCAAAGAGGCAGTTGCACCCCCTTTGGGCAAGGGAATAAGGCCACGATGAACATGGCCCACCGGGTTTTGAGACGCGGTTGAGTTGAACGCATAACCAAGGCAAATCAAGGTTATGACTGTAACAATTTGTGCCATGTCGACAGCGCTCATGGGCCACCTTTTGCTGGAATTTGGCCCAATGTAGCCATTGGTAAACTAGGCTGAGACCATCAATTCCATACACTTGAGAACCCTGGTTTGTATCACAGGCGGCTGGTTGTATTCGAACGTAGGATCTCAGCGCTTCTAGCTCAGCGCTCTGACCTCCCATGTGTTGGCTTTAAATAAAGTTTATTGACCATAAAACTTCTCCAGAGATTATAAACAGTTTATAAACAACAACGGTTAACACAGCCATGAGTGGCCGCAGCATAGGCAAAGAGAAAGATCCCCCGTATAGCCTTTAACAGACTGTTGGGGCAAGTGGCGATGTTAACACACCGTACAAGGCATTTATTTGAGGCTGAGTCGACCTAGAGGAGGCACAGGACCAGCACAGATAATCGTGGTGGCCGTGAGCGGAAATCGAACTCGGGTCGCCGGGTTCGAAGCGCGGCGCAAGCGCCAACCCGCTACACTACCGCTCCCCACAACCACCACCACCAGCAGCGGTGGGTGACCCCAGCCACGCGGGTCACCTGTGCCGAGGAAGATGGCGTCGTAGGCGGCGTCCTGCGCCTGCACGCGGTCGACGGCGATGCGGGTGAGCCGGCGGTCGGGCTGCGTGCTCACGAACACGGGGCGGCCGTGGCGAGGCCGCACGGGCTGGTCCATCAGGGGGTGGGACCGCGCAAAGTGCAGGACCTCGTCGGGCAGGCCTCGCGTGCTGTGGTAGGCCGAGCCTGGCGGGGCCGTCAGGTCGCTGAGGCACTGCGCGTAGGGGGGGGGGGGGGGAGGAGAACGGCAAAAAACGGACCCTTAGAGTGGCCAAACGTCCACGTTGAATGGACGTGGAGATTACTGTCACACGTATCAGGATTGAGTGGAGGAAGAGGGCCGTGAAGAGAGATCCACGCAAAACGCGAGTTAGAGGAATGCCAGGAAAAATAAGTTTAGCACTTTCAACCATCTGTTCGGTCCAATTTTTAGCCAAACCCTAACCCATTGTCCAGTACCGTACGCGTATGCTTTACGTTAAAAGGAGGGATAAATAACCAACATGCAGTGGTGTTACTAGGGTTGGTGTCACCCAGTGCGGTAACTCATGGTGTCACCCCTCATGGACTTCCGCCCGTACCAGATCAATACAGAATCCTTAGTAATGTTGTTTGTATTAACGTTACTCGCAAATCGTAATTCCCGTATATCACTGAATGTAATGGCAATAGTAGTGACGTAAACAACTAGCAAAATAAAAATTTCACCTTTAAATTACAATATTACTTTAAATACTACTTCATTCTCAAAAAAGTTATTCATATAGGTTCACAGATACTAATCACCACAATATTGTAGCTAAAACAGATTTTTGTTGTTATAACTAACTACCGGAGTAATTTTTTTCATAAAAAAATAATACATTTATGCTGAAACACTGCACAAAAATTGTATAGACAGTCATTTTAGTGTCACCCGGTGCATTCCGCACCCACCGCAACCCCCTAGTGACGCCTCTGCCAACATACACGTGCAGGTAACAACACATTCCTGCGGAGGGAGCTGGTAGGAACGTTGGGTAGCTCGGTCAATGGCCAGGGTCAACGGTGGCGTGGTGTATTCCACAAATATGCCCGACTGTGAGGGCGGGCACAAGCCGGTGTGAGTAGGTTAAACGTTGAGTTTTATAAGGGCACCACGGGGTGACCAGCTCCTCCCCACCCAGCCCCACCCCTCCCACCCCCCACCCAGCCCCACCCTCCCCACCCAGCCCCTCCCCACCCTCCCCACCCTCCCCACCCTCCCCACCCAGCCCCTCCCCACCCTCCCCTCCCCACCCAGCCCCACCCTCCCCACCCAGCCCCTCCCCACCCTCCCCTCCCCACCTAGCCCATCCCTCTCCACCCAGCCCTTCCCTGCACGACGGACGGACACAATAATCCCCTGTGGGCTGGTGTAACCAGAGGTTCCTACCAGTAAAAACATTCACCAGTGGGAATGAATATTTGCTCCCGCGGGTTTTTTTTATTTATATTCTGGGGAAGCAATGTTCATTTAACCCATACCCATTCTGAGACGTCTGCAAGTTGAATCTCAGAACGTGCAAGCAGGTTAGCGTTAATTTTATTGAGGTAGGCGTAGCGCCATTATGTTTTTAGACATTGCACTCACTGTAGAGAACTGTAGCAACACGACCGCACTCTATGATAGCTGGCGCTAAACTGCCACTCGCCATCCCGCATAGCCTTTTACTTCCGATGACATGTACGTCATCAGAACAGGGATAGGGTTAAATGGGTTAGATGGCAGAGCAAAAGCAAGTTTGGCAGCCTGCTAGATGTACCTGTTGCCGCGACAGAGCTGAGTAAGATTCATTATCCACGAGGTGCGTACAGGACAGGACGATCGCCGGTAACGAACGACTCACCGTGCCAGGCCGCGGGTAAGGAACCCTGCCCTGAAACGTTGCCCAGTGGTGCCTGGGCCCCTCTCGGTGAGCAAAGGCCCCCTTGAAGACGTCTCGGATCGCAGGCCATGGAGTAAGCGCACACAGCGAAGCCCTTGAAGATGTCACTGTGCGCGTGCGTGTAGACACCACGGGGAACAACTCGAGTGAATTTTCTGCTGGCAGCCTTTCACTTTAAAATATTGTCAATTGGGAAATTCGTAGCGTGCGACGCTAAATATCCTGATGTACAGATTAACGTACTGTACGTCGACTTTGTTACAATAGGTGACTGCCTATTGAGAAGTTTATTTGTCAAAGAAGGCCGTAAAAGAGATTTATAAAATTGACAAGTATTCTGACAAGTTATTCAAATATTAACGCGATATAGTTTAATATTTGTAATGTATACACACGTATACATTACAAATGTTTTAAGAATTCTATATCAGAAGATTAGGAAGCAAGTGTTCCTTATTGCGTAAAAACAAAAAAATCACGGCTCGTATTATAATCGAATGTGTCATTTAAAACAAACATCACAAGCATGCAAAGGGAACGAAGCACAGTACCTGACCGTGCTAAAAATGGCATAAACTTCGGGATTTTTTTCATCACTGGTTTGAAGTAAGAATACATCCTCTGGAAAATAAACAAATCAAACACAGACTATGAGGTTACACGTAAGGATGACACACCTGCCTTCTGAAAACATTTTTCTCAGGCTCACCCCCCACTGTGTACACTGTGACCTCCAACGATGAGTCAGTCAAAACTTTTGCCCCCCTTCTCTCTCTCTCTCTCCTCTCTCACCCCGTTGCTCTAAAGAAGTACTGCAAATGGTTATAATGGAGGGTTTTTGGATTAGATCGCGTAAATATAAATGCGTCATTAAACCTACCACCAGCCGACACAGCCACTTAGTAAGGTTTGTCATGTAAACGAAACATGCCAATTCGTTATGAGTACAGCACACTGGTGTGTTGGGAGAGTAAATCCACAACATTTACAATTTGAGTACGACGTTTCACCAGTAATTACAACCGGCATCATCAGGCGACAGCCAGAGTTGTGGAGAAATCCTCCCGTTTCGGAAACGGTCAGCCTGACATAGTTTGATCCGTGAAAAGGCGGTGTTAATGTAGGTACAGTACGATACGTCAATATTTTTCCGCTGCCGTATGTAGCCAAGCGCGCGAATTGCGCGCTTTGTGAGCTGTGATTGAATTTGGAGAGAGACTTGCCGAGCTGATCGAAGTGCGTGTCGATGCCGTCAGAGCCTGGGATGGAACACAGGAGCCGGGCCTTCGTGAAGGTGCTCCACTTGTTGACCAGCACTCTCTGCCCACCCTCATCGTTCTGCACAAACGAAAGAGCAAAAATAAAACGCCGACAACCGTGAAGCCGACATCCACGAAAACAATCGTGAGGTCCAGATCCAGGACGTTTTGCAGGGGAGTGCTACATTGGGATGTTTGTCAAAATCCCTTTTAAAGTGTCTTCATGCGTGTGGAATGAAAGTGGAGTACCTGGAGAAACCTCACACGTATGAGGGAATTACACTTAAAGTACGCGTGTAATGATAAATGAGTGAATTAATATCGACTAGGATTACAATATTTACGTTTAATTATGTGTGTAAGGATTAATGCTTTTCATTTGTAATTCATTCATCGTAAGCCCTTCCAGCCATCAGAAGCCGCTACATAATAACCACAATGTAAAAATATTTTATCAAATCATTATCCTGAATTTCGAACATTTATTCAATTGTATAGCTACACCCCCCTATCAGGCATAGCCGGTTCAGTTTAACAACAAGGTAAGAGTCAGGCCGGCCTTCCTAGCTCCTTTCGGATGGGGCACCCAGTAGTGCCGTTGTGTGTGCCACCGTAACAGCGAAATAACGCTAGGGTGGAGAGAACTTGCGTGGGGCAAGAGACATTTCCCCCCTCCCCACCACCCCAACCTAGCGAGAGTCAATAGGGACATGTGATCTGGATCGGAGGAGCAATGCGAGTGTGATCGGTACCACGCATACGCGGCCCACGCGCGAAAACCTTGCCCGGCTCCTGCCATCGGCCTCGGTCGCCCGTTCCGAGAAGAAGAAGTAGACCTTGTTGTCGAGCGGGTCGTCCGTGTCTGGGATGAGGTGTGCCGCCACAAAGCGAGGCTCTGGCAAACAAAACAAAAAAAATCACGCGTGATGTTTTTTTTTGCTGCTCAACGAATAATGCTGCTCGAGAAAGCAATGGCTTTCATATTCTCGTTAAAGACGTACGCAAATGCGCCGTGCTCCCCGGGCTGCCTGGCACAAGTTTGAAGGTTCGTTAATGAGAATAACGGCACGTAATGCCACTCGGAAAATGAATGGCTTTCATCTTCTCGTTAAAGACTTACGCAAATATGCCGTGCGTCCCGCGCTGCCTGGTTGAGTTTGAAGGTTCGTTAATGAGAACAACGGCTTTGAAAGCACGGTTGTCACGTACGGTTACGTGGAAAGCTGGTGGGGGGGGGGGGCAATGGCAAGGTTGGTGGAAATGTGAAACATGAGAGGTTGGAGCTCCAGTGTGGGTGTCCCAAGTCAAAGGTCAAAAAAACAGGAGTCTCCTTGCGAGTACGGGTATGTTTAGTTAAACCTACGTGGCGCTTGTGCAGTTATTTGGGCTGGCGAAAATGTAAAAAAACACCGTTTTTTGGCAATGGAGGAAAATACGTGATGTTCTTGTCTTTCTTAAGATTTGTTGTAACACTGTGTGCAGTTGAAGGTGGCAGCTAATGCTTTTAAGATGCCAATAGCAAAATCTACCAAGCCGACAAGCGATAAACGCAGATTGGTATGGTTTTTTTCCCGAACGTGGAAAAATACAGCTATGTAAAAATGTATGGGTTAGGTGCCCCATAATGGAAAGAGTGACTGGTGTATTAATATATATGGGAATAAGATATGAATGCGTTAACAAAGACTCAAACACGTGCCAGACAGATCACAACACACAGCCTATGTAGACATCTGCAAGAGAAGAGTTATTTGTACTTTGATTTGGGTCTCACTTTCATTACAAATATAAGGTGACACCAAAAGCCTTTCTCTACCCACTGGTAGAGGAACTGAGGAAGACTGTCCTGTGATTTAAATTTCATTTCGGGATTTCAAGTCAAGTAAAAGGTTCTTTCTTCTGAAAATGAGAAACGATGCAATCTCCATTATCGGTTCTCAGATTCAAAACGCATGTCCGAGAATATATTTTTCAATTTGCACAAATGTTTTATGGAATGCGTTGACGTGACCCCCTGTAATCACTAGTGGCTGATAAATGCACCATTGTTATAAATGCACCATTGTGTTAATTTAAAAAATAACAACTTGTTGTTAAGTCAAATCAACGGCTCCTATATTCACCACAACTTAGAAATGTATACATATTCATAAATCAAACCATGACCCTGAATTGCCACAATCAACTTGTGGCAATCAATCATCAAACTGCAAGAAGGGGGGGTTGTGGGGGGGCGGGAAAGAAAGGCCCAAGTCTACGAATCCACACGGCTTGTGAAGGCCTGGGATAAGAAATAACCCATGCTGGATAATGTTGAACTTCTTTCGCACCATACATAGCCAACCGTGCTAATCGCAGGTGCCCGGGTTAAGGGAATCAGAGGTGCGGGGTAATTCCATGAGTGTCTCAGCATGGTTTGGGTCCGGTTTATAATCGTCAGAGGAGCTCCTATATTCTTAGGTTTTTTTCGGTAAAGTCACGTAGGTAAAACATCAAAATTAATAAAAATAAAATAAAACAAAATCACGACGTTTCGGAGGCAACACAAGTCTCCGTCATCAGGTGGGACCGTCACAGCCGGATTAGCTGCATCAAGTGAGGCAATGATTCAAGATGTAATCCCTTAAAAAGGCAAGTTGAGGGGGAGGAAAGGGGGGGGGGGCTCATCAGAATGTGGTAGCCAATGAATGGAACGCATCGGAAGGGGGGAGGGGGGGGGCGGGGCCAAAAGAATGCACGTCGGCGTGGACGCTGTTGGTGTTGCACAACGCAACGGGAGGGAGAGGGGGCTCCCATGTCCACCGCTGTGCGCCCTTGCGTCATGCATCACCATTGAGAACTTGCGGGTTGGAGTGCTCCGTCCTGATCGCTCGATGCTGAGGGGTGCCCGTGCGAAAGATCGCGGCGTCTTCCTCAAAGAAGTCGGCCAGTAATCCCGTGTACAGCTGTCCGTCTGGCCATTGATGGGTTCATAGCACAGGGAGGACAAAGGGTTAGTAACACAATCACGATGATGGCAAAAGCGCCAGGTCAAATTTGGGGATTCGAATGTGGCTATGCTTGGGTCGTTTGGGTGATGTGTGCGACTCCACGCAGCGGGATTGTCGAATTATTTAAAGAGTAGGGTGCAATTGTTGTTCGCCCAGTATTGTGTGTGTGGGCACAATTTCAAGCAAAAGTCTTCAAACAATAATTGCTTTGAGGTACAGGTATTTCAAAACTATAAATTAATCCTAACGAATTCATGATGATTAATGGTCAGCTCGGTGATTAACGACTATATATTGGTTGCAGCGACAAAAGTAGATATTTTAAAATCAAATCCTTGAGTTGATTTGCTGCCGACGCTGTCAGGAACTCCTTCCCACCAATCATCTGTGCCACTGATTGTCTGCCCCCATGTAAGCCCAGGTTCAAGGCTTCCATCTGCTATTCTTCCTTTGGCTGTCTGTTCTCTCTAAAAATAAGAGTACATTATTTTGTACAGAGGAGTAGGCCAATTGCTGTCTGGAGGTGCTCTCTAGAGCCCCATTTATCTCGAAGCCCTTCAGCCATTAGTGGAGTGAGCAGGACTGCACCTGTAACTTCCACCTTATATATATGCCTCCTTCTTCTTGGTTCTTTCGGTAAGTCACGTAGAAGGGAAATAATAAAATAATAAAAATAAAACATAATTAAATAATTCTCACGACGTTTCGGCCACAACGCAAGCAGCCATCCTCAGGTGAAGAACAGGTCTGTCGGAAAGACAGCGTCTGAAATAGACAGCGTCTGAAATATTCAGACGCTGTCTTTAATTTTTATTATTTTATTATTTCCCTTCTACGTGACTTTTACCGAAAGAACCAAGAAGATGAATCCCTGCAGTCACGAAAGCTTTAAATCGAAATATGCCTCCTTGTTTTGCCTGTGACAAATGTCCCACTGTTTTGTACAGCATTTTGGCATGCAGTTGTATTTAGTCATCATATAATTATACACTATAAATGGTAATTGTAAGGGGACATAAAAAAGTGACCAAACAATCATAACAATGGACTAAACATAACAATGATTTTTTCCCTTGCTATTCCCAATGGATGTAATCAGTCCAGTTCCCATGCTGCAGCTTGGCAGTCTCAAATTAATGTGTGTATTTAACTCTTTACTGGTTATGGGTTGGTTTGCAACTCAATATCAGCTCATGAAAACAGTTTGTTCACATTTTGAAAGCACTACACCGTAAAGTATGAATTCCAAATCTGTCAGCCAATCTCTCTGCCCTCGCTCTATGCAAAAAATGGGCCATTGCCAAAAATATAGCCTACATTTTTCGGTTATAATTAAGCGCTAACGATGAATGTGGTGAGTTTTAATATTTTTTTTTAAATTGGCAAAATCTCTGAGCGTACTGCAGGACAACGGCTGCACCAATTCACACATTTCCTCTTGTCCAATTCGCGTTCGGAAACCCCCGCTGGACCAGTGGTGCAGAGCGTGGCTGACGGGGGCCCACGGTAAAGCGTATCAAACGGAGGCTCCCCCTGTCCAATTCCCCTCCCTCGTTGCAGCCCGACGCCCTTTGGCCCCGCAGAGTCATAGGCTCCGGTGCAGTTGCACCGCCTGCACGCTCGATATCTGCGCCACCCCTTGCCGATGTTTAACAGCGCACGCTAACACCGCGATGACGTATTCTCACTCAGGCCCAAAGCCAAACACCTTGCCCTTCTATGGTATTCTTTGGCGACGATGTTCACGGCCGCATTTCATCCAGTGATTCGCGTGCCCAATTCGACGAACGGCGGCACGGAGCAAATGTGTGCGGCGGACGGAGGGAAGGAGCGCTGATATATTCATGACCCGGGGGGAGGGTTCTGAGATGAATTGGGGAAACGTGGCTGCTAAAATTCACGTCGGGGCGCACGTGAAAAAAGATTATGACAAATGCGGCTTCAAATGTGGACAGCTCTTTCATGGAAGCCGTTGTTTGTGAAGGGAAATGGCTTCTGAAGGGGAATGTGCGCGGCCCCGGGGCGAATTCCCCGTTATTTGTGTTTCAACCTTAATTTAAATTCCACAAACACAGAGATAATTGCGACCGGTGCATCACACGACGCGACGATTACACGGCGACGCGCACGCTCGCTCGAGACACACATGGACATCACTTCTTCGGACAATTGTTGTTCACATGGCAGGCAATGCGATTGTACACATTCGTCATGTAAATGTATATTTTTTACATGTAAGTAGAAGCCACATTTCCACGTCGTTCTGTACATACATGTAGAAATATTAGTAGCCAGTTGCAGGTTTAGCCTGCTTTCTTTTAACTTTGGTATCACACTCCATGGGAGGCAAATTACTTGGTTAATGGTCAATGGTTCACTAATTAATTTAGAATTAAATATGTTTAACCATTTAGCATGAGACAAAGTAAGTTGGAACTCAGGCTGAGCCTCCCCCATGAGTGAAGCAATCAACGTCTGGGCTACAATTTGTTGGGACACCAAATTCTGAACAATGTCATGACTTTGGTTGCTGTTGTTATAAGCAGCATTGACTTGACTGCAATTGTTCTAGACTTCCGCTGTGTAGCCCTGACTGAACCCTATTAGAATTCACATCCGTTAGCCGCGGCCAGGGATCAAACTCAGGTCAACGGGTTCAACGGCATGGTGCACGAACCGATGCTACAGTTCCTCCCTACATGGCTATGTACGGCGCGAAAGAAGTTCAACGCGCATACATAATAAAATAAGACATTGTTTAAATGCATGCCTATACAGGCCACCATACTTCAATAGGGTTTACCGTTGGTACGGCTATTTTAGTACACACAATTGACAGGAAGGACAAGATCAATGGGCTCGCATAATGCGCATGCATAATGTACGTTGACTCATTAATCCCCCCCACACTTTGTGCAAGAAGAGCATAGAAGCGTGGTCCACCACATCTGCGCCTCTATATGAGGAACGAAACAGGTGCACTTCTCCACAAATCTGGCTGTCGCCTGATGAAGCTGGATGTAATTACTGGCGAAAACGTCGTACTCGAAATGTAAATGTTGTGGCTTGGCTCTCCAATACATCGGTGTGCTGTGCTAGTAACGAATTGGCACGTTCTGTCGACGTGACAACCCTCACTAGTTGGCTGTGTCGGGTGGTGGCGGGTTTAACAACACATTTATATATTTAAGCAATTTCATAAAAAAAAAACTCTATTTTGGTACATACATTACAGTGTTTGTAAATAATTATCACCAGGGGTGATATTACACTGGTTGTCTGGCCTATTAACTAAATCATGTTGTTGTTGTTGTTGTTGCAACAACTTGCAAAGGGAACCAACAGGCGGATTCCACAGCAGATCGCGTGATCTGTAAACGCGCTGCCGGAATTCACTTTACCAACTACTGTGAACGCAAATGGCTCCTTGGGGCCAAAGGGGCACCTTCCTTGTCCATTCTCAACGCTCTGCGGCTCCAGCTTGAATGTGTGGTCCTAAAGGTGGGAGACATAACAAGAGCACACGACCGCATTCATTCACCGTGAGTGTTTGCGCTTGTCTTTCCACTGCGTTGGCGCCTTGCAGACTCATGTCAATATGCACTGAGCTACTGCGACAGCTCTGAAAAGAATTCGTTTGTCGCCGCGTCGGTCATTTCTAGACGCGTCAGGCGCTGCAACATTTTGTGCTTGTACGTTTACGATCTTTTTTTTTCACGGAACCACAACCCTAAAGAGCATCAAGACACGAAGTGTGTGTTTTGCCTGCCGTCTGAGTCATCACACATTCTTAACTTGGCTTTCACATTCCAGTCCAACATGTTAAATAAAAAAGAGAGAGAAAATTGTATCCATTTAGGCATACAGACTCTCAGGCAAACGTTGTGATAAGAGCACCCACGTAGGGAAAGCACAACACCCAGTGCCCACCCACCAGTACAGAGACGGTTAGATATATTGTAGGAGGTACTCATTTTAGGTTGAGTTGACCGAGGGGAGGCCAAGGTCAGACCCACGTGCCCATTGCAACTAGTGGTGGACAACACAACCAGCAAAATAACCCTCGGGTAGCAAGGATCACGGGGGAAGTGTCGTATCCAATACCCCAACAGATAATAAAGCGCTTTTAGCAAACACCTATGAAGGCCGGCACAGTGCACGGAAAAGAGTGGGTGGCCAGCACCACGCCAGGCCGCCTTTGTCTCCCTCGTGGCAAAGTTTACTCTAAGTAATTATTTTGAGACTGAGTCGACCTAGGGGAGGCCCAGGATCAGTTCAGATAATGGTCACTGGGTGTTGGCCGTGAGTGGAAATCAAACTCGGGTCGCCGGGTTCGTAACGTAGCATGCTTACCGCTCCACACTCGCATGTGTGTGTCATTATTTTCAGAAAGGCTTTTAGCCTTTCTGAAAATAATTAAATGGGGGATATGGAATATAACAGTGCAATGAGTATTATCACCATATCATGGCAAAATACTGCAGTTTTACGATCTTATCTAATATATATACATAGCAAGTCATGTGTGAGTGAGTGACTGATATGCATTTTTTTGTTTCAGAAGGGCTGGAATTTGGCACAAATATATGCTTATAAGTACAGTAGATATGTGTTGTAAACCTAGTTGTATAAGATTTGATATTTTGAGATTCATGTCAATTACGACATAAGCTTTTTAAAAGAAATAATATATAGAGATTTTTCTGCACACCAACTATTGTGGGTAAACAGTTATAACGTGTTTGTTTTTTTAGCTTACACTGGTTAAAGTTTGTATATAGGACTGTGGAACACTGGCAAAACACAATAGTACGTCAAAATAAGAATAAAAAATTAGAAAATCTTAATTTTCGATTTTTAGACCCAGCAAAATTGGGGGCCTGAACAACAACTTAAAATTTTTGTACACTGGGCCCTATAAAAACTTTTGCACGTATGTCAAACCATACGCAGCCAACTGTGCTAATCAGAGGTGCGGGGGAAGGACAACATAAAACAAATATCTGAATCGGTCCTGGATGTTGAAAACGATGTTAAACCCAAATGACACTTTTTTTCAAAGCTACATTCTGCGAATACTTTTTTTGGAAGTGTGACCCCCAAAGCCAAAATAAAGCGGGTGACGCTGACTACCAAGTAACTCATCGTGTGCACTCTCCTGCAGCAGCAGCAGCAGAAGCTGCCTGCTTATGTTTATTCTTACACGGTATTTCTTTATAGCCTGTACAGACTGTTGGGGCAAGTGCTGTTAATGATCACCTATGAAGGCCGACACGGCACACGAGGGGATGGGTGGCCAGCACCACACCCGGCCACCTTTGTCTCTCCAGTGGCGATGTTTACTAACCGCACCAGGTACTCATTTAAGGCTGAGTCAACCTAGAGGGAGGCCAAGGACCGACTCAGACAATCGTCGCCGGCGTTGTGCCGTGAGCGGGAATCAAACTCGGCTCCCCGGCTTCGTAGCGCAGCGCGCCGACCGCTGCTACACGACTGCTCCCCACACACACTCACATCCACACCTCCATGCCAGAGGTCGCAAACGGGTTTTGATTCCTTACCCGTACCCGTACCCGGCCGCACCAGGGTCGCAAATGGGTACCCATACCCGTACCCGGCCGGTACGGGTACCCGTTCCCTACCCGTACCCGTACCCGAAATGAGTGACTAACGGTTACTCACCAGTGACTCACGGCCTACCCGTACCCGTACCCGGCCGCACCAGGGTCGCAAACGGCTACCCGTACCCGTACCCGGCAGGGTACGGGTAGCCGGGTATCGGGTAGGGTACGGGTATCGGGTACCCGGTTGCGACCTCTGCTCCATGCGAACATACAAAATGACCCCTCGCTGCCAGTTCTGTGGCACCGTGGTTGCCGGCCAATGGGCCACGTCACAACGTCCAAACAACCAGGAGGCACACAGAGCCGCTCGACGCAGCAGCTGCCGCGGGGCTGACGGCGTTGGCGGCAGCCAGACTGCCGCTCTTTGATTTTATCTGTCGATCGCAGGCGTTGCATTCGACCCCAAACGACCGGGGGACCCCCATCTCTCTCGCCCACCCTGGGGTTCGCCCCGCCTCCCTCGGTGTCAATGTGCTCTGACCCCACACAATTAAAACAAACCGATAAGCGGGACCTGCTACCGCCTTTGTTTTTTCACGGTGACCCACGCCGACTCGTCGACTGGGGAGTCCTGCTCGTGCGGGCTCTGTACGTCGGACGGAGGTTGGGAACGACGATTTAAAATACGTTCGATGATGCCGCAAGGCACGGGGAGATGTTCTGAGTAAGGTGAGGATCGATAATTATCAAGACTTTAAATTTGCAGAATCGTGGGTTTCCCCCCCCACCCACACTTTTTGGCAGCCCTAAATCACGCTCACCACAGCACCGATGACGAGCATTTATTCGACGTAATTTATTGCGTGTGAGCTAATATTGAGACATCATTGGTGAGTCCTGAAGATGATTGCTTGTGTGGCGATCGAAACGTCGTGATCTATTATTTTTTCTACCTACGTGACTTTACCGAAAGAACCAAAGAGTATGGATTCCTGCAGTCACGAAAGCTTCAAATCAGGATTTTTTCCACTTCTCTGTGCCTCGTGCGACATATTTCTGGCACCGATCTCTTTACGTCATCGCTGAGCCATTCTCCGTGAGGTCTTCCTCCTTCTCTGCTCAGCTGCTGCTGACGGATCTCGTATCGTACGACGATCTGGTATCGTACGACGACATCGAAGCGTGGACCCCGTGTCGCGGCGATCCAGGCTCTGTGGAGCCGTGTTGTGAAGGGGACCAGTGCCGGATTATCGTAGTAGCACAAGTAGCTACACATGCAGCTACGGGCACCGCACTTTCAAGGGCCTCGCGCTAAATGTGTTCAAGCTATCAATTCCGGTTCAGTGATTTTGCACTTGATCTATTACTATAGTACTATACTGCCTTAAATTTTTATGAACGACTGGGTGTTTAAGATTAGCGATTTGCCGTATTATCCGGCTGTATAGCGAAAAGAAAAAATACAATTACTTTACTACGCATTTTAAAAACTTTTTTTATATTTACGTGTTTTCTTTTTTTTTTTATTTAGAGCCCCTCTATAACATATGCTACAGGCCCTGCAACGAGCTTCATCCGGCACCGGAGGGGAGGGATGGAGGGAGGGAGCACTTGCCTCGGCCTTGCGGCCTACGTTGACGAGTGCGCACGACGGGTGGAAGGCCCCCGTGCCGCAAGCCAGCAGGTGCGTCTGGTTGAAGGGCTGCAGCACTCGCACAAAGTTCGAGCACTCCTCCTGAAAGAGACAAAAGGGGGGGGGGGGGTCACCGCACAACCCGCCCCGTCCCCCATGCAGCCGTAAATACTGACGGTGCGAGCAAGTCCTGACGGCGTAGCGCCTATTCGAGGCACCCCCACAAAAAAGACACGCACGCAGTGCCGGATGAAGCTAGCGCGGGGCCTGTAGCATATGTTATTAAGGGGCGCTAAATAAATAAACACATAAATATGAAAACACAATTTTTTTACTTGCATAGTAAAGTAATTGTATTTTTTCATTCGCTATACAGCCGGATAATACGACAAATCACTAACCTGAAACACCCAGTCGTTCATAAAAGTTGAAGGCGGTATAGTACCATAGTCATAGAGCTAGTGCAGAATCACTGAACCGGAATTGATAGCTCGAAAGCATTTAGCGTGGGGCCCTTGAAAGTGCGGTGCCCGTAGCATATGTAGCTACTTTTGCTACTAGGATAATCCGGCACTGCACGCACGTCAGTCCGTAAGGGTAAGTGCTCTTTGCGAGCACAAATTAATAATGAGAACACAGATGCACACGTGCATAGACACAACACAGACAAAGCACCCCGTATAGTCTGCAAATGATTTTGGGGGCGAGTGTTATAAGCGAGCACCCATGAAGGGCAGCACGGCACACGAGGGAGTGGCATGGCCAGCCTTTGTCTCCCCAGTTTTGATGCTTATATACTGGACCGAGTTCTCGTTTAAGGCTGAGTTGACCTAGGGGAGGACCAAAACCAGTTCAGATAATCACAAATATTAGCCATGGCCAGGAATTGAACACGAGAAACTGGACGATCACCCCCAGATGCATATAGAGTATATATATATACATATATGTATATCAAGAGTGCGTACTACGTTACTTAAGGGAGCTGGAGAGTTTACACCAATAAATATGTATACATTTTAAAAATTTGATAATCCAGAAGAAACCAAACCATCAGCCTTCATATTTTACATTAAGTAAAAAAAAGAGTTAGTCAAATAGGAAAATAGGGGAAAAAAATGTTTCCAGAATAAAAGTCAGCCAGTGAAAACAATCTAATTTCTTCCATCTCTGTGACTCAATGTAAATTTGTCAAGAAAACGTATTTTTATTTTTACTTAATCAAACTGCTGAGCCAGAATCAAAGTTGACTTCATATGGTCTGAATATGACTAATCAGAGCCATTCCGCTACTCTGCTTTAGGAAACATTTTAACACAGAAGACAACATCATTCTGGAACAAATCTTTGCAGGTGGCCATCGGCAAAGATGCGCGGATCTTATGAAACCGTCATGGGGCCTTTTACAGCTGTGGTTGGACAGCTGCGTTAACATCCTTTGCGGCAACAGCACGCTTAAACGCAGCATATTATTAGTAGCCTCATGAGGGCCTGAACTGTAGAACTTCAGCCTCGGAGAAAAGCGATTCCCCAACTAAACCTGCAAGCTGTAACCAAGCGTTCAGTGAGATTTTTTTTAAATCCACAGTTCTGGTAATGTATCATCGGGGGGGGGGGGCTAAGATTTTTGAGGCTTGAACTTGTTAAACTTGGGTTTTGAGGCAAATTACACGAGGCCTTGAGACCACCCAGTCCGGCCAATATGAACTTTCGGTATGTATCTTCTCTGAAAAGCCAAAGAAAACACGCTCAAAGATAGACTTTGGGAAAAGGACCACCCCCTTCTCGCGGTGCGGTGTGCGTGGCGTGCGCAAACCCCACTCGCGTGGGCAGGTTGCGCGAAATGGTTGATATTTTGTCCCAAATACGAGAGGCAGAAATGTAAACCAGCCCGTGCGATTATACTCAGAAGAAGAAAAAACACCGTGGCACACGCATTCGCCGTTTGATACGGCGGGACGCTCACGGGCTTAGCAGACTTAGCAAAGGTCTTCAAACACACATTCTCAACAACCAAAGTCGTACACCGCTAAGGGGGGGGTGGGGGGGCGACGACACAAAGCCAACCTCTGCCTAAACATAAGCCCCCTTCTGTTGATAGCGAATTCGCCAGGAATTCCCCCCCCCCCCTACGGTGTTTAGATTTGCCGCCTCACTTTGATGTTTTCTACATCCACATTTTACTGCAACGGAGCGTCGGCGACTGTGGCTGAAGCTGCGGCTGCTGCTGCTGCTTGCGGGAGCGAAGGTGACCTTGACGAATACATCTTTGGGAACATATTCTTGATTCCTTTGGTAAAGTCACGTAGAAGGGAAATAATAATATTATTTTTCGATTTAAAGCTTTCGTGACTGTAGGGATTCATCTTCTTGGTTTTTTCGGTAAAGTCACGTAGAAGGGAAATAATAAAATAATAAAAATAAAACATAATAAAATTATTCTCACGACGTTTCGGCCACAACGCAAACGCCGCTTGCGTTGTGGCCGAAACGTCGTGAGAATTATTTTATTATGTTTTATTTTATTAGTTTATTTTATTCTTTTATTATTTCCCTTCTACGTGACTTTACCGAAAGAACCAAGAAGAAGAATATTATTTAATTATTTCTCTTCTACGTGACTTTACCCTGCAGTCACGAAAGCTTTAAATCGAAATCTTTGGGAACGTTAAAGATCCCTCGTAAGTTTTTCAACAATGGTCGTCTCACGTGCGTGCAACAAATGTGTTTGTCCCACACACCAAGGGAGGGGTTTTCCTCCTAACGGGCGGTACGAAGTGTAAAATGCGGCATTTACAGTTTAAAATCAATAAATAACGAAATATCTTCCAAATTTAACCCAGCACCATGGACAATTTTCTTGCATTTGGGCTGTGTTATGTCCACTGGTGCGCCTGTGCACTGGCAAGGCACTGAAAGGTAGTAGCAGTTGTGAATTCCACAGATTTTATGCGCGCACATTTCAACTGGAACTGCAGGCCGCGCCGATTCCTGGACTCTTTTTGAGGCTCAGAAGAGCCATCTGCAAATGCCCAAAGCACCAGAGCCAGGCTTTAAAGCCAGGTAATGAATGGTCATCTCTGTTGGGCCCAAATTCACAGTGACCCCAAGAGACAACACCTGAAGCTGGCTATTTTATGAGCACATAGCAGGTCATTAGAAACCACAAAACACGTGTGTGTGTGTGTTGCCCTATTGTGTGCAAGATCTAATGAGCGTTAGGTAATCAAATCACTACCCGTGGAATGGTTCACCCTCTATCCCCCTGGTGATTTAATGAATTATTGTGACCAGGGTCATGATCCGATGTATATATCAATAAAAAAACTACATTAACGTGAAAGAGAGAATCTTTAGTGGCTGCCTGGGTTATGTTAACCAATTACATCAAGCGTATCAATTGGAAAACATAAATTCTTCAGCACGAAATTCCATGCACATATCACTGCACAGCATGGGCGTGCACATCGATGAATCAATGGCACATTCCATGAACTGCCACTATAAATATCTTGTTACTTTCCTCTTATTGACAAGTTCACAACATATAACGATCATACTATTACTATGTATACATTTTTATATTATTTTCAGCCCTTTGTTACTCTACGGATGGATGAATGCCTCCCCATTCCATGTTAGTCGTGGATTTGTTTGACCGTAGGTCACTGTGCTAGTCAGTGTAGGTTCGTTACGCTAGAAGGATGTGCGGGACCATTTCAGATTTCACCTACAACTGATCTTGGTTATGGTAGGGAGCCCAGCCAATATTGGCGGGTTCATAGTGTTACAACCACTGAGCCACCCCATATCTAAATTTAATCATCATCATTATTATTATACAGCACTCTGGATTTGCATTTCGATGTCCACTAGAACAACGGACAGCCACTTTCACTTTAACCCACGCACAAATTGCTACACTTACCGTGAACATGTGTAACCCCATACGGAGTAATTGGAGGAAGCGATATTTCTCTTGTTTTCCTGCCCAATTCACCCTCTGCCCCCTTTAATAACAACCAGCTACTGGCAATGCCGACCGTGCGTGTGTGAGTTGCCTTTCCCGGCCACTCACGTGCACGTCTTTTCCCTTCAGCTCGCAGTCTTCTCTCTGTTCGCCAGTGCAGGGCCATGAAATCTGTAACAGTTTTACGAGCGCCGACACAACAAGACTCGGTCTCAAACAATATATTTATTGTACTTTCCAAGAACGTCAACTTAAACACAAACGAGGAGTTGAAGATTGTTTTGCTTTAAAGCTGCATTGCATTATGCGGCTCTCAACAGATGTTTTAACGAGCTATCAGTGGCTATATTTAAAAGTTATATGCGGCACACATTAATGTTTGCTTTAACTTATTTTGTTAGCGCATGTGTCCCAAATGTGCCATATGCATCGAGGCATATAAAGGCTTTGAATGTTTTTTTTCCCCCTTTGAAAATGTATTGGGAAATTCATTTCAAATACGTATATGCATTCAATCTGTTACTGTTAGTGGTAAAATGTAACACAACTAATGTGCACCGCAACAGAATTACACAATTAGCAAACAATAACAATGCTCTTCTGTAATTCTGGTCAACTTTGTTACAACGATGCATTCTTTCAGGATTTTTGTTTTCTATCATCATAAGCCATGGTTAATCAACTCCCCAATCCGCCACCATTCCTCATGATCCTGCAATGTTGATAGTTAATCTATCAAGCACCTACATACGAGCTAATTTCATTGCTCCATCGACTCAGAACGTACCCTCGGACGCATTACATTTTTTGGCTGCCACTCCGTTATAATTATTGTTATTCGTGTATTTTCTTCTGTTATACAAAAAAAGAAAACAATGGCAAATGTTGTGGTGGTAAACTTGCAATGCGGCCTCTTCCCACAGTCATAGGAACAATAGCGAAGTCAAACAGGAAGTGTCCAGAACGGGACACCTTCGGGTGGCCAGGAACAGACCAACAGGACCACAGCTGCCCTCATGTGGGAAACGGGTCACAAGCCTAAATATACTGCCCAGAAATAAACTGTTTGGGGGTATTTATAACGTATGTCCAAGGCTGCCAAATCTTCTGGCTTTTTTGTTAACATTCAGAATGATTTAGAATTGCACTGATGTTTATACGCATCTAACACTACGCAAACACAGTTTCCATCCACGTGTTCATTGGATGTGCAGTGCCAAACAATAACATTTGTGCGTTGCTTTTTGCAAATCGTTGTATAAAAGATAACAAAATAAAAGTAATGTATGGTCCTTTGACACCCCCACCGTTGGATCAATGAGTCTTTCCTGCACTCTGTCAGTAAGGGGGGGGGGTCATTTTCCCATTCTCGTAAAGCGGAGTTTGCTGTGGCTGGGAATTGAACTCAGGTTGCCAAAATCATAGCACAGTACACTCAACCACTGCACCACCGCTTCACAATAATAATAATAATTTGTTAATCATGAAAAGCTTTAAATGAGTCCCAAATCTTTTGACAAAAGGTTTCTACTTTGTTAAGTTTAGCCAGTTTTAGGTTATTGCCCAGGCATGTGGGTGTCTCTCAAGTGAGGCCTTAATCTCTAACCTGATCCACTAATCCCACCTCGCCGTCGCTGGCTTACAGCAGTCTTGCGTCATTGTAACCAAACCTGCCAATCACTGGGTTCCAATTATATTTTAGCTTTTTACAAGTATGGTTTATTTGTGTAAAAACTCTCCCATAAAATCAATTACATGCCTGTAAGAAAAGCATACGCCTTGAAAACGTTAGACAATGATAATTATTTACACCTTTATAATATTTTGGTTCGTTTTACAAAATACATTCAGGATGCATTTAAAACAACATAAACAGAAGTGAATGTGATTTGTGTTCCTGGAAAGAAATATTTCAAACTACCTATAAACCCAGCGATTGTCTTTCTAGATTGGGAGTCAGGGCGAAATCTGTTTCTGAAATGAAATCCTTACATGTGCATTCCTAAAGTTGTTGCCCCAGCCGTGGTGATTGTAATAGCAGTCACCCCTACCTGCCCCCACCACTTTCAGAGGCAGATTTTCTGAGTGGCTTTGGAAGCACTCAAATTCAGGTAATTATAATGTGATTTATGTACTCAGGAAAACCTGGATATTTAGCACACGTCATTTGCCCTTGATGCTACCACACCTCGCAATCACTTCCTTCCTTCTGCCGGATCCCACAGGAGTTGCACAGTCGACAACCGACCTCCAAGGTCGCTTTGCTTCCCATTTGCTGAGGTGCGTGAGTGGAAAGACGTGGTCCTGCCATATGAACGTGGCGTTTCCACCATTTTATCAGGGTTATAGGCAGGAGATGAGTTCCACGCCGTCACGCGTTGAAACTGGAATCCACCTTGACTTTTGGGTTTTAACTTTCTCTGGGCGACTGTGGCCTCTAAGCTTTTGGCAATGTCCTGTTGCCCCTATCTTAATACTCGTAATTTATTTTTGACAGAGCGCCTATTATGCCAGAGTGCCTTAGAGTGCTGTACACGCGGCTCACATCACATTATCATTGCAAACATTTCAAAGGGCACCCCCCAGTGGCAGCTATCTCTGTGTGGCACTAGGAAACTCAGCAATTGGCCTGCAAGTGGGCATTAGTCAGCCAGCAGGGCGATGATTGCTATGTGTAAACCCAATTGAGTAATTTAACATGTTACTGAGTTGTTAATATTAGGTAAGTTAATATTACGGTTACATACGATTGCGTTTAGTTTACATAATCAAATAACTTAATCGTATCATGTGGATTGTCTTCCAGACAACTGATGAAAACTAAATTTCTTGAAATGTCACGCAATCCGTGACGTAGTTTTATCCTGATGGAGATGCACATTCACCCTCTAAAGGAGTAACAGCTAAAATTTAATGCTCTCATGGTGTGAACCTTTTATGTATGAGCCAGCACGATTTCTGTCAGGTTGTTCATCTTAACATGTGAACACACTATAATTATATTAAATCGTATTACGTTACTTGTAATGCACAATTATTAAATCACACGTTGTTGACAACGTAAGGGAAACAGAACAATGCCGACACCGTGTCGAATCACCGCTGCACCACAGTAATAATCAAAATATTTACCGACTCTTTTCAAGGAGGGTGTCACATTGAGACATTTGCCCACTACCATTAATAACGTGGAAGGAAAGCTGAGAAACCCCACACATACGAGTGGAGTGAAACTGTCATCCCCTGGCCACCTCGCAGGCCCCATAGGTGCAACTCGGTGCTGGTGGTCGTCTCTCGTGCGTTTACTACCCAGGATCAAACCTGCTCAGGGTGTCACAGTGCAGGCGGTCCCTGGGTTCGATCCCGACCCTGACACCTGTATATTTGTAGTTTGCATTTTCTCACCGTGGTCGCGTGGATTTTTTTTGGCCATCACATTTAGAAAAACACGCGTTTGGAGTATTTGTCTGCTATACATTACCACGTGACGAGCCACTTCGTTGAGTGATCATTTGTGGCCAGGTCGCTTCTGAAAACGAGCTACACAGCTCAGTGGGCCTTACCTGGTAAAATAAAATAAAAATTCGTTATCGCCAATCCTGCTCGGCGATAACCCTCCACGGGGGTGGGTGGGGATTGTTGGTAGGCGTAGCGAAGTAGCTGCGGGGCACGTGCCTCTCGGTAGTCGCTGTGCGTGCCGTCCAGCGCCAGCGAGTAGACGCGGTCTCGCGCGCCGACGAACAGCCGCTCGTGGTACTCGTCCAGCAGTGCGGTGCTCAGGTCCAGGCCGGAGGCTCCGTGTCCCCGGAACGAGGCCACGCGGCCCGACAGCCTCGCTTCTGTCACCCGAGCGGCAGCGTGAGAGCACGGTCGAGTTCTCGTCCATCGGGGTGACACGCGGCAATCATCGCCCACCCCCACCCCACCCCATCCACCACGCGAGTGCGGTCTGGTGGGCCGCGCACTGAGTCACATTGTGCCCGCACGGAGATGACCTGCTCCTGGGAGGGGTTGTCCTTCGAATGTTTGAGAAGAGATGCGATGTGAGTCGCTTGGCGCGTGTAATGCGCTCTGAGATATGCCGGCATGAAGGGTGCTGAATTTGAAAAAAAACCGAATCATTGTTCATGATTAATATTATTATTGACACTCACATGGCGGTTTTGCCTTTGGAGCTAACCTGGGCATCATTTCTCACCTCGTATTTTCTGGAACGCTGCAAGGCTGGCTTAGAGCAGGGATTGTCAGCATGAGGCGCTGCCACTAGCTTACAAGTAATGCATATACATAACCATCCGATATTATTGTTCCATGCATATTCCTATACTCCTACAAACAGGTTTGTAAAAATGATTGGATGAACAAAACGAGGTGAGATCGATGCGTTTGCGCCAAAATAATTCCCGGAATCGCGTTGCGGTCTATTTTGGTTCTAACGAGGCACCGGAGCTAAGCCTTGGTTAGACACATGGCCACTCTGCCCCCAGTGAAAGCTTAGGAAGGTTAATGGGTTTGGCGTGTTTTATGGGTGTCCATAAAGGACAAGCGGCGACAGGCTACCGAGCACGGTGGGGGGGAGCTGGTTGGCTGGTTAGGAGAAGGCTCAAGAAGACGCGGCAGAACATGCGAGTTAGCTGGGCAGCGACATCAAAGCACGACCCACAGGAGTGGAAGCAGATCACGGGATAAGAGGCACAGAGCAGGCAGCAAACGAGGTGGTGCAGCGAGAACGACAGCAGACGTGCCCCGGTTGGTGGCGAAACAACAAAAAAAACAGGCGACTGAAGAGGAATGGGTTACGTAATGTATACAAAAATATAAAGTGTATAGATCTGTTAAAATGTTTTAAAGTACTTTCCTGCTCGACGGGCGATGAGACATTGGTGATTATCTCCCCCATAATAGAGGGTTTTTTAAAGATTAGATCACGTAAATATAAATGTGTCGTTAAGCCCGCCACCGCCGCCGGACACAGCTAAATAGTAATGTTTCTCACGTCAGCAAAGCGTGCCACTCGTTTATATTGACACCATCTAACCCAGAAAAACCCTCGATTTTGGATAATATTGGTCGCAAATGCCTACTACGTGTTAAACTGGTTATCTCCCGTTCACAGCCCGGAGCTCGTGGTGAAAACTTCTCACTCCTATTGTCGGGGGCGAGTCTATCCGTGGGACAACCACTGTTGAGCTTCCCACAAAGTGGTACTAGTTTTATCGACCACAGAGGGATGGTCGTCTGAGTCATTACCCAACCAGGCTTTGAACTCTCAGTCTTCTGATTGCGAGCCGCTCGCTCTACCGCTGAGACACCTGGCCACAGAGTAAAATATGAACTAATTTTTACTGGGAGGAACCTCCTGGTTACACCAGCCCACAGGGGATTATTGTGTCCGTCCGTCGTGCAGGGAGGGGCTGGGTGGGGAGGGGAGAGTGGGTGGGGAGGGGCTGGGTGGGGAGGGTGGGGCTGGGTGGGGAGGGGCTGGTCACCCCGTGGTGCCCTTATAAAACTCAACGTTTAACCTACTCACGCCGGCTTGTGCCCGCCCTCACAGTCGGGCATATTTGCGGAATACACCACGCCGCCGTTGATCCTGGCCATTGACCGAGCAACCCAACGTTCCTACCAGCTCCCTCCGCAGGAATGTGTTTTAAATGTCGCCACGTATTTAAGGGCATCTGTCACGTGGATGAAGCCACGTATCATCAAAGTGACTTATGAAGTAGTCTCACGTCGTCTTCCGAGGCATTTTCTGACACAAGGTGCATGGTAGTGCACCGCTAGCTGCAAGAGTTCCAAATTAAGATGTCGTCTAACGCCACACTGCCAATAGCACACTACACATATCACTGTGGGGAAAACAATTGATACTGGAATCTCCATAATGATCCCAATAGTAGGAAAGTATTATTTTTATTTTAAGTATGTAATCCTAATCTACTGTATGCATACTATATCAGTAAAATCAGTGGCCAGGCGTAGTTTAATGTACAGAAAGAAGCCGTAAAATTACTGCAAGCCTTTGTGAAGAATTAACACAAACGCAATTGTAATACTGCGTTAGCGCGTTGTGCGCAAGCACACAAAAAAGCCAACACATCCATCTATAACACTACCGTAATAGAACAAATATTATTTTCTCTTTTTCATAGCTATGAAGAAAAGCCATTTCCTGGGGTTTCACCTATTACATACATACATATATATTTTCAGGGCAGTACTTGATATGTGAACATTGCCGTTTCGAAATTCATAAGAAAAAACTCTAAACGAGCGGAAAAAAGAGGCCTTTCATAAAAGCAGAAATCTCTCGTCTGGAAACACCACGACACGCTAGCAAAAGCTGTGATGGCCTGTGAAAATACCTGCCAGGATAAAACAACTGGCACACGCGTTCACTTCCACTAAGAGCAGCCAGTCGCTTTAGCGCAGAGTTGCATGCTTGGCCGCGTACAGAAAGGAAGTCATCGTGACAGCGTCGAGATGTGTGTGTGGACGCGTCCAGTCTGGCACAGAACAAACCGAGACGTGGGCTCTTGAAGGAAAAAAAACACACAATACCTCTCGATTTGAAGCTTTCGTGACTGCAAGGATTCATACTCTTAGTTCTTTCGGTAAAGTCACGTAGGTAAAAAATTAAATTAAAATTAATACAAATAAAACAATAAAAATCACGACGTTTCGGAGGCAACACAAGTCTCCGTCATCAGGTGGGACCGTCACAGCCAGATTTGCTGCATAAAGTAATGGTCCCACCTGACGACGGAGACTTGTGTTGCCTCCGAAACGTCGTGATTTTTATTGTTTTATTTTTATTAATTTTTATTTCGCTTTTTTCCTACGTGACTTTACCGAAAGAACTAAGAGTACACAATACCTCACCACGCTCAAGTCCACGATTCAAAAAGTCGGAGCGATTTTCTGCTCGAATGAGCAACGAGGCAGTGCTCACATCTCTCCTGCATATAGTCCTGAGCCAGTGGTGGACATTCCTATGCCTGGGGGCGAGTCCACTCGAAAGACAACCACCGCTGTTGTCTTCACCACACAAAATGCCAGTCGTCCTCATCGGCCCTGGAGGGACGATTGGGGGAGTCTTTATTTATTTATTGCCATGGGTGGAGAGGCAACGCGGATCCCAACCAAACTGGGCACTTTTATTAATTTAGTTTAAGTTCTTCTTGGTTCTTTCGGTAAAGTCACGTAGAAGGGAAATAATAAAATATAAAAATAAAACATAATAAAATACAATATTTTATTATGTTTTATTTTTTCATTTAATTTTTTTATTCCCCTTCTACGTGACTTTACCGAAAGAACCAAGAAGATGAATCCCTGCAGTCACGAAAGCTTTAAATCGAAATTTAGTTTCAGTTGTTTACAATTAAGTTGAAAAAAATATAAATTACTTATATGCGCTCGCGATTCCTCATGTGAGGGACAAAGCGAACACCCCCCGACCCCCCCCCCCCCCCAAATATAGAAGTCAAACTCCGCGTATGTTTTTCGTGACTTTCTTACATTTTCTGTACTTTGCACTCCTATTGGCGTTTGATGTTGTTACTTGCTGATCCTCCACGAGGAACACAGATTCTGAGTCAACCCCTAGACCAAGATTCCAACTCGTGAACTTTTAGGCTGCGAGCAGTCCGCTTGCCCTACCGCCCGCTCCGTCATTCTTGATGTAGACCATCCCCGTGTAAAAGCGTCAGTTGTGTGATAAGGATCTTGTGTTCATGGTGAACGCACATTTATAGATACAATGACGGTGAACATTTTAATAGAGAAAGCAACATTTTGATTTAAATGCTCTACACATCTTGCACCTACATCAATACAATTAGTCCATGTTTTATCACTCTCATCGGTAAGATGTGGAGGCGCCGCTTCCGCAATGTTCAATCACCCGTTGAGATGATAGTTCATGGGGCCATAACAGAGCAGCGGGGTACTTATACAAAGATCATTCTGTATTTTTCCTTCAGAAAATATTTTTCACCAACACGCACAAACAAAGGGGTGGTGAAGTTTGTGTTACGCCCTAAACGTCGTGATTTAATTTAGTTATTTTCATTTATTTTATTTTTTTACCTACGTGACTTTACCGAAAAAACCAAAGAGAATTAATCCTTGCAGTCACGAAAGCTTCAAATCTAGAATGAATTGGTGAAGTATGGTCGAACAACTCCCACGAACGTTGCGGGATGGGGGAGGCCTTCATCCAGCAGTGGATTGACAAGTAGCTGTGGATTATGCGAATTACATTTTAGACGCTTTTATTTTTTGAACACTTTTCATGATAACGATTATTTTGTTTATACTCTCTGAGGTTTGTTTCATCACTATTATGTGCAATGCGAGTTAGTGAAGAGAGGTTGCCAGGAATAGTGCAGATGTTACTCGCCACCGAAGTCATCCGTGGCCGGGAATCGAACTTATGTTGGCGGGGTCCATAGTGCAGTGCGCTGACCACTGCAGCACCACTCCACTCCACCCTTGTATTTTACTTAAAGAGACAATGAATTTGGGCTCCTCGCTGATTCTACTCATATGAAGCACCCTTTACAAAGGCATGAGATGAATCACAACTGCAATGTTACATCCTAACTCGACAGCAAAATGTGGCTCAATACTGATTACGAAAAAAAGCCAGATAAACTTCAGTTAACCTGGGACTGGTCGCAAACGGACGTGTCAACACGCTTGTAAAATAAAAGCTTCTCCCTGTTGCAGACCTTGCCAGAATACAAATAAGACAGCACTAGAAGTTGGTTTAAGAGGTGGATTCTTTACAAACCCCTTTGTCAATTGATTTCTGGATAGGACTCGTGTATGAATTTTGACTTTAAACTTTCGTGACTGCATAGATTCATATTCTTTGGTTCTTTCGGTAAAGTAGTGTATGTATGTCGTACTTCTTTCACACCGTACGTAGCCAACCGTGCTAGCTGGAGGTGAGGGGGGGGATAACAAACTAAATACAAAACGCAGTTCTACATTAATTAGTTTTCAATCCAGTGGCTTCCTAATGTCGGAATGAACAGCGGTCCAGTCGGCCGCAGACGCGTAATGTGAACGCGCGCGATGCAGTGGGTCGTCTTGATTTGATTGCTCGCCAAAAGCCACTGCGAGGACAAGCGGAGTTCGCGTGATGGTTTGTAGGACCATACTTGACTATATGAACGAAATAGTAAACCACGACAGTAATTAAATATAAAAAAAATTCCCCTAAAAAGTGTACATTTTTGGAAACATTTTTTCACGAAAATTAATTGTCACGCTCAACGAGTCTGTGTGCAAAATGTCAGCTCGATTGGATCACGGGAAGTGGATTAAAAAACGACCGAAAGATTTGCACGGTCGTAAGCACGCAAGCAAGCAAGTGAACTTAATATAAAGGATTTACAAATTAACCCGTAAAAACAAAGTTTTTCACTATAAATCCTTTATATGCATGGCATCGGTTTTGACCCGTTTTACCACTTTCAAGAACCTGGCGGCTTCAATTGAACTGCTCTATAAATAGTCTCCACTGTACAGCGTGGGGGCAGGGATTTAATGCCATGTGGTTAGTCAACATTTGCGTCATCATGAAACGGGCAGCTAGAGTCCTCTCGTTCTCTGGCTTGAGATGGCTGCCACCTATGGGTCAGATGATTGTCTGCCACCATTAAGCAATTGGTAATTAAATATTTTTTAAAAAATTCCCTAAACAGTGTAAAATTTAGGAAAAAATTTTCACGAAAATTAATTGTTACGCACAACGAGTCTGTGTGCAAAATGTCAGCTCGATTGTATCACGGGAAGTGGGTTAAAAAACGACCGAAAGATTTGCACGGTCGTAAGCAAGCAAGCAAGCACGCAAGCAAGCGAACTTAATATAAAGGATTTAAAAAAACAGGCGACTGAATAGGAATGGGTTACGTAATGTATACAAAAATATTAAGTGTATAGGTCTGTAAAAAATGTTTTAAAGTGATTTCCTTCGAAACAATAATCGCAAAGCTGCACGACCCGTCTTTGGAAACGCTCTCGATGCAGCTTGCAAATATCGACATTGGCATATCTCCTTAACTTATTGCATTGATACGCAATAAAAAAAACAATAGCACATCGGGGAAGGGTGGACCGGTTATGACCTGCCACGAACGTTAACCATGGCCGAGAAATCGAACTCAGGTTACCGGGTTCATACACAGCGGGCTAAATCCTGTGACACGCCTTCACCCCGAACGCACACTACACGTGCACGCCGAACGCATTGTTACACATGCCTAACGGCCAATGTATGCATCCTACTAGACGTGTCAATACTATGCACTCAATGTGCCCTGTGATGTCAGTGCATGTGTAAGACCTGTCCGCTCACACAATGCAAATCCATTTTGAGATGCGGTTACATTTAGACGTTACAGTACGTGTGCCATACACAGATTCACGAGCCACTGACGTGAGCCATGGGCTAGGAATCAAACTCAGCCCCCCCCCCCCCCCCGAGCTGATTTCGCAGTGTGCTGACCACTTCGCACCACTCGCTGCGCCTTGAAACTGGGGGATAATTATCAGGCGACGACGACGACGATGATGATGCTAATTATTAGTTTTACTCTGTAGGTTTTCGCGGTTTTGCTTTACAGCTCTCCTGTTTTCGGGTTGCACCCGTGGGTTGTCCGGCACGATGTCCGACTTTTCACCCCACGTTTTTGCTCCAGTTGCTGCGAGGAAGGCTCCCGGCACGCGGAACCGGAACGTCGGACATCGTGGCGGACAACACATGGTACGACCCGAAAACACATCGTAAAAAGAGACAATTTCTTGCACGAATCGGCAGCCGCTTCTTGCTCGCTGTCACCGCCGCATGCGCCTACCTTTGTAGGAGACGCGGAGTCGCAGGTTGTCTCCGCTCGTCTCACTCATCCCGAGTGACCACAGCAGCAGGTTCATCATCAGCAGGGCGCCGTGCCCTGACGGTCCACGCCATCGCCCCATGACGCTCCCACACAGGCACGCGCACTCTCTCACGCCGACTGACTCGCTCGCTCGCTCCACTCACTCCCGTCTCATTCCACAAGGCTACGGCGCCTGATTCATCCAAAAGCAGCCTCCTTCCTGGCCCACCCGCCCAAGATTGTGAAACCTTCCCCCGCCCCACCCCCCTCCATCACTCTCCCCTTCCCACGCCTGCACAGGGGATGAGAGTAAAAGGGGATAAGGGGGTGGGTGGAGCAGTGGTGGTGCCGGCCCATTGGGCGGCGGGGTGGGTGTAGGGGGCTAAAAGCAGCAATTATTTTCTCCACCCCACTCCTCCGCTCCTTTCAATTGCGTGTATAGACTCCTTGTGAGATGACAGAAGAGATCGAGACGAGGGGTGGAGTTGTGGCAGAAGGTGCAATCAGATGTGGCCAGGTCGCTTCTGAAAAATAAGCCAGTAGCTCAGTGGGCTTTAGCTGGTAAAATGAAAAAAAAATGTAGTTTATTATTTTGAGTGATTTGCTTACATTTTCTATACTTTGCACTCCCTATTGTGTTTTTTGTATTGTTTGTTGTTGTAACTTTCTGACCCGTCCCTTCTGGACATATTTGTTATAAAAATCTGTATAGCTCACCGCGTCCCTCGGTATGAATGAAGATTCTGAAATGCAGATGTATATGTGTATGTTGAACTTCTTTCACGCCGTGCATAGCCAACCGTGCTAATCGGAGGTGCCAAATCAGTCTCTAGAATGCTATGTTATATCTCATCTCAATGCATCTTCTGTCGATCTCTTAACTATACATCAGCCTCTATCACCGATTAATACTTTGCCGTATTATTTATCTTCTGAATATATATTTTCCCTCGTCTGAATGATTCTCTCTTCTTTCTTTCACAAGCTTTAATATCACCACATCTAAATTAACAGCTCTCATTTCGCTACGTCTATCTTGTCTAAATCTGCCCCATCCCCCACATCTCCGTCACGTCTGCAATCCTCTTCTCTCATCTCTACAACTTTGTTTTTCGTTTTCATCTCCAGTGATCTCTCTGTGTTTCTCATTCTCTCGCCGTACCCTATCTCCTCTCATCTCACGGCATCTCCACCTTGTCAACGTCACCCTCAGCTTAAGACATCTATCTTCCCCTTGTATGCTTCTATATTTCAATATCCCATTCCAGCAAAGAGTTCCATAGTTACGGAGCAAATATCGCAAAAGCTGCAAGCACGGTTGGCTACGTACGGTGCGAAAGAAGTTCAACATACAATAATTGTAAGTTGAACCTGAAATATATCTCTGTGTGTTGCCTACATACTCGTCAGCGCACCAGTAGCTTATACATTCAAAGGACGGAGGCTCAAACATAAGTGTCGTGTAAGGCTCCCAATGGGACTAGCACTGCCACTGGTCTGCAGACATAGTACACATACATAAATAACACATTACACATACTGACAGTGTACGCATACCAAGTGTAAATACACTCAAGATGAGTTATTATGTTAGTGCATCCTCAAACCTCTCTGCTAAAACAATGTCATTCCATCTCGAGATGCGGTTGCTTTTAGACCCGACGTAAATTCTAGCTGCATGAGAAACAACCGTTGATTGATGTACCTACAGACTGGCCTGGCCCTGCAGTGGGAAGTTACAGGTTGACATCAACAACAAAAAATACTTACATTCCGTTAAGATAAGATAACAAATCCATTAATATAACCTTTATATGCTTTCACTGGAGCGCAGTGGTCATGCGTTTAGATATTTCAAAATTAGAATTGATTTCTTTCTTAAATGAGCATTGAAGTGGTGCTCGACCTCTTGTCTATTGCCCTAAGCCGTGGTGGAAATTCTATATTCCTATGGCAGGGGCAAGTCTATTCGTCGGACAAGGAGTGGTTAGATTTGTATCAACTTGCAATCCGTCAGATTGCGAGCCGCTCGCTCGACTGCTGAACCACGTGGCCGGATTACGGAGTTTTATTAAGTTTTATAATCGACAATGTTAGCAAGACCAACGTCTAAGGGGCCGTCCATAAATGACGTCACGCACCGGGGGGGGGCGGTCAGATATTTGTGACGATGTATGATGAGGGGGGGGGGTTTGAGAAATGTGACGTTACATCAAAATGCGCAACTTTAAATAAATATAGACAACACGTTCTACTTAATTAAATAGACGTTTTAATAAATGTTTTCTCCTACAACATCAGAGTGCAGCGGCACATTAAATACGCACTACAATGACAATAGTTTAAAGCGATTTGAAGCATGTTTTATTTTGGGGGGGGGGGGGCAAAGCTTCGTGACGTCATATTTGAGGGAGGGGGTCTGACTTTTTGTGACGCCGTGTGACGAAAGGGGGGGGGGGGGGTCAAAAATCGTCCAAAATCGCGTGACGTCATTTATGGACGGCCCCTAACATCATTGAATGTCGGCGCACACGCGTGAAACGTGTGCAGTGGGGGTGAGGGGGGGTACTCAATGTGTTCCATCGAATGTTTTCCCCAGCGGTGGATACACATCGAAATTGCCCACGAAACATGTGGTGGATTAAACGCTTCACAGATTACTGTTGGGCCCGTTTCAAACGGAGTCAGACGCTTTGCTCCATAGGCAGCGGCGTTGCAAAGGAAACGAACTCTGAGCTATCCTACGACGCTAGATCAACATTAAATATACGGCGTTTATTTGTACGCATGGCTGGGAGCAAAGTGAGGAGGGTCTGTTGTGTGTGATGTGGCAACTGCAGTATGTCCATCTGGAAGAGTTTGTATAAATTAAGGGGTATATTTTCCCACACTTTAATAAGTAAAATGGGGAAAAACCCCCAACCAACAATCTACCCCTACAAACAAAACAAATACTATCAGTGTTTCCCACTGCTTACTCGCGGCCCAAGGCCGAACCACTTTTGTTTTGCATATTTCTTTTTTTTTATGCAAAGTCTAGGTGTTTATACATATATTCAGCCAATTATCAAGGCACGCAAATTGTTAACAGAGATTTTGACTTGCATGGATCATTACTACCTTCAGTCAAAGATCAGAAACTTATTTTATGAATTTATGCTTTCTTTTAATGTAATGGTTTTAATTATTATGCTGCTGTGCGATATTTTCAGCTTATTACTCTAATACGATCTTGATAACACAAAACTCCCCTTATCTGCGTTTTAATGTAGCCTAAGTCATATTTGTTCAATTAAGGCCTCATATACGAGGTTATTCCCTGGGTAAACACACGTAATATGACGAACTCACTGTCCATCATTGCTTATCCTCGAAAACAATGTGAATGGCATGAACAATTTTACACCTTTCATAAACCACTTCAGCTCCTTATCTATGAATTAAAGCGGATAACGGATATTAGGATGAATTCGCTGCATGAATATTATCCGAGAAGAAATGTAGCTCATAGGAATACGTGAAGACGTGCGGTACTGGGGGGTGATGGCTAAGCACGTGTCCTGTAATCCAGCACTGTGGAGTTCAGAGTCAGTGGATCCCGCAAATGTTGTGAAACTCCTTTCCCGTGGTTATCGAGGAGACACCATGCCCTAGCTCACCACGGGGAAGTGGTGCAGCAAAAATTGTGTACTCTACCGATGCTATCTGTATGGGTTTTCTCTGGGCGCTCCAGTTTCCTCCCACCTGTAAACACTTATTCATGAATCGGCTGATAACACTTCAATATATAGAGGACCGTAGATCTTTTAGGAGGGGGGAGGGGGGGAATTTGGTGCCGGCACATCGTGTCACTGCATTGCCGCTCGCCTGTGGTTCATCGCACCTCAGAGTCGATCTCTCTCTCTTGGAGAGCGAGCGAATACTGCACCGCGTGTTACAGTTAAAAACACATCCCTGCGGAGGGAGCTGGTAGGAACGTTGGGTTGCTCGGTCAATGGCCAGGGTCAACAGCCGCGTGGTGTATTCCGCAAATATGGCCGACTGTGAGGGCGGGCACACTCCGGCGTGAGTAGGTTAAACGTTGAGTTTTATAAGGGCACCACAGGGTGACCAGCCCCTCCCCACCCAGCCCCACCCCTCCCACCCTTCTCACCCAGCCCCTCCCCACCCAGCCCCTTCCCACCCTCCCCTCCCCACCCACCCTACCCACCCAGCCCCACCCTCCTCACCCAGCCCCTCCCTACCCTCCCCTCCCCACCCCACCGTCCCCTCCCCACCCTCCCCACCCAGCCCCTCCCTCTCCACCCAGCCCCTCCCTGCACGACGGCCACAATAATCACCTGCGGGGTGGTGTAACCAGGAGGTTCCTACCAGTATAAAATAATAACTATCATAAGTAACCAATTCCGATGACGTACGTCGTAAGTTTTTATTTCGATTCCGTTCTGATGACATATGTACGTTCAGAATAGGAAGTAAAAGGCCATGCGGGAGGGCGTGTAGCACAGTTTTTGGTGCCAGCTATCATAGAGTGCGGTTGTGCCACTACAGTTCTCTGCGGTGACTACAGTATTTTTTTAAAACAGCAGCGCTACGCCTCTAAATAAAGTTAACGCTTACCGCTTGCACGTTCCAAAATTCAGCAGTGGACGGGACCCACCCTGCAACTTGCAGACGTCTCGGAACGGAAAAGGGTTGTATATATATGTCGTGTATTGGTGCAGGGTAATGTGCCCTATCTTGTTTTTAAAAACAGAAGTTTATTCTGGACAGTCTTAGTTAACTTCACTAGGTACGTCTTCCACTACCACATGACTAATGTGCCTGTCAAACGTGCTGTCTATATATCAGATCCAATCCGTGGTTAAAAACCACATTATCAATTGCAGGTCCTTGCACGGCTTCTTATACTGTGCACAAAACTTAAAACTCAACGTATTAGTCAATAACAATTCCTTGAAAGAAAAAATATATAATACGTGACCTTTTGGCCCTCATTCATCACCTCATCATGTGTTGAGTGTTTTTTTATTTGTGCTTGTGCACCACTGTCGCCGCAGTATCAACAAATAATTGTTGATACTTTTCATTTGAACCAGTAGACAAAGAGAGCGTCAAGCACTCCTAGGAGGGCCGATATTCACACGAGTCTGGCCAGGTGGCACAGCGGGAGGGTGTGCGGAAGGTCACGAGTTCAAATCCGAGTCAGGGGACACAT